ATCGAAAAACATTTTTTACCAAAATACTCAGCTTGAAAAGTTCTACAAACGTAGTAAGTTTGAGCGGAATCTGAAAACATCGGCGAATGGACCTGGTGGTTTCCCATAGAACTACCCATATCTTAATTCTATCGCATAAAAGAAAAGGAGATCGAAAATAGTCCTATAAATAAATATTACGGTTACTCGCGAGTCTAATATCATCAGCCATATTGAGAATAAAAAGTATTGTATTTTTTTTAGATTAATCATAATGGAAAACAAAGAGAACACAAAGTCATCTCCAAAATTTCATGTGGTTTCATATAATATACAAAGCCTGGGTAAACCAGGGAATAATTTCAAAAACCTTGAATCATTTCTACAGTATCTGAGTCGTGCCGCCGATAAACCAGATGTTATTTGTTTTCAAGAAACATTTCTTGATGCTCAACATTCAGATGAATCAATTTCAATCGATGGCTATAAAGTTTACCGCTGCGATGATAATTCTCACCGAGCTGGTGTTATTACTTATGTACGAAATGCTATAAGAAGCGAAGAAATTTTTAACGATTCAGATTTACAACTTCTTATTATTCGCGTGACAATCGGTAATGAAACTATTAACGTTAGCAACTGTTATCGTCGACAAGGAAAACGGTACAAAACATTGCCAGAAGTACCTCGACTGACAAAAAAACGATACATTGAAAGGTATACCGAAATACATATATCACTTGAGGGTGTGAAACGATGTGTACTTGTGGGAGACTTTAATATCGAAACTAGCGTACATAATATGCCAAATTATCTTAAAGATATGTGTAAAAAGTTGAAGGTATCACCTATTATAAACATACCAACTACTCGAATAGGTACAAAATGTATCGACAATCAGTTTTTCCCTGTTGAATTAATGCAATTAATCATCAGCAAGATTACTCATGTTCTATGGCCGAATCCAAGCTCTCCTCATGCGTTGATCGACAGCCAATATGCTGGTTCACCGTCGGACGATTGTTCATCTAAATGCACTTCTACTACACAGCCACAATCAAATGATATTCCCAATCCAATTTCTGAATCTTCATCTAAAGAGGAAGCATTCGCATCGTCTTCAACCGACAGTGCTTGTGAACATACAAATGACTCGTTATGTCAATCTGTGACTTTACCTACAGACTTACAATATGGATCAACGATGACGGCAATAGCTAGGCCATTTCCCACTCGATTCATAGAACCTATTATCGCGACAAGTCGCATTCAGCTGAATCCCAGAATTTTTCCTAGCGCAATTTATATCGAAGCTATCGTATACATGACGCTAAATTATCTTAAAGATATGTGTGAAAAATTGAAGGTATCACCGACTATAAACATACCAATTACTCGAATAGGTACAAAATGTATCGACAATCAGTTCTCCTCTGTTGAATCAATGCAATTAATCATCAGCCTGATTATTGATACTCCATTGGCGAATCCAAGCTCTCCTCTTGCGTTTATCGACAATCAGTTTTTCTCTGTTGAAGCAATGCAATTAAACATCGGCGCGATTACTCATGCTCTATGGCCGAATCCAAGCTCTCCTCTTGCGTTAATCGACAATCAGTTTTTCCCTGTTGAACCAATGCAATTAATCATCAGCGCGATTACTCATGCTCTATGGCCGAATCCAAGCTCTCCTCTTGCGTTAATCGACAATCAGTTTTTCCCTGTTGAACCAATGCAATTAATCATCAGCGCGATTACTCATGCTCTATGGCCGAATCCAAGCTCTCCTCTTGCGTTAATCGACAATCAGTTTTTCCCTGTTGAATCAATGCAATTAATCATCAGCGCGATTACTCATGCTCTATGGCCGAATCCAAGCTCTCCTCATGCGTTGATCGACAGCCAATATGCTGGTTCACCGTCGGACGATTGTTCATCTAAATGCACTTCTACTACACAGCCACAATCAAATGATATTCCCAATCCAATTTCTGAATCTTCATCTAAAGAGGAAGCATTCGCATCGTCTTCAACCGACAGTGCTTGTGAACATACAAATGACTCGTTATGTCAATCTGTGACTTTACCTACAGACTTACAATATGGATCAACGATGACGGCAATAGCTAGGCCATTTCCCACTCGATTCATAGAACCTATTATCGCGACAAGTCGCATTCAGCTGAATCCCAGAATTTTTCCTAGCGACCTGGAAAAAAATTCAGTTAATGTAATTCAGTCAAAACATCATGATATCGATCTACCATCTCCTGAAGTATCACATGTCACAAATCGGAAAGATCAATTTGTCCAGACGAAAAACTCGATGTTAAAACTTCCGCTTACAGCTCTTATCGATGATGAAAACATAAACGTCAATTTTGCTGAAACGACTATAACTCGAGGCGATGTCCATATCGAACCTAAAATACTACTATCGGCAGATATAGAAGACAAACAAAACATGGTGCAACTCAATGCCATTTTCGAACTTGTAAACAATCGTCATATCAAGGAAAATGAGTATAAATCTTTTCCTAATGAAAATATGGAATTAAAAACACCACCTGTAATGCTTGCCAAGCCGCATGATGTTGATCTCGATGCAACTATAGAAGACACAACTCCGCGACTGTTACTTCCTGAATATAAACCAAATTTTCATCAAGAAATTCATGATACACTTACAGAAAATAAGGATGCATCGTTATCGTTATTCGACATTTCCAAAACTGAAACAGGCAATAGCCAAAAGTCATTTGTTCTCGTAGATCATTCCGCTGATTTACAAACTAATCAAATCGTTCCTTATTCCGTACCAAATGCTGATGTACCTGCAAACTTTCGTACTTTAAGAATGGTTGGTGAGCCATTGGTATCATATGAAGAAAAATTGGGAGGACTCATACAAACAGCGACTCTAAAGCAGTTTATGTATACAAAGGGACCCGGACATGAATCTTTGGAGGGAAGAAGTATTAATGTACAACAGAATCCTCTATATACCAAGCAAACGTTCAAACAAGGAAGAATGTATAAACACGACCCGTCACCGAATTATCAAGAACCCGTGACTATATATTCATTATCGCCACGAGTTAAAGCAGGAATAAATGCAGGAAAGAAAGCCGGGATGTTTGCAACGGTCGATACACTTGCGTATGCATTTTTTGCTACAGATAAAGGTCGTCCCACTGTCCAACAGGGAATCAAACGAGCTGCTGTGGCTACCATTCAAGGTTTCATCGATACAGCTGTTCCTGGTGGCCAACTCATATCTACTGGTGTCACGGCAACTATCAATAACAATTATGAAAACTCGCTTGGGGATTTAGGTCGTGCATTACCATCACTGATTCCTGGAAACCCAATTCGTTGGTCACGTGAATATACACAAGCTAATGCACCATTATTTAATAATGATCTACGTTCAGATAATGTCAATCGTAAGGTTGTCGATGTGACTATACCGTTTATCGGTATTGTCTCGACTGGACTTTGTAAAGATGAGGAACAAATCAAATTTTTTCGCAATGGTGTCAATACCATCCGAGATGCAACTAATTATCAAGGTCATGTAGCTGTTGGTACTGTATTCGATGCATCGATCGGATTTAGCTCTGGCACTGAAATCAGTGAGCCAGGTGCCAAAATAATCGAAGATGGTATAACACAAACTACATATTGGGAAAAAGAATTTAGTGGACAATTTGGTGGGCGTCTCCGTCTAGCTGATCGAAAAGCTGCATCCGATTTTGGTTCCGCTTTTAACTCAGTATTGAAAACAACAACTGTCAAAAGTAACACCGATAAAACTCCGATCTTCGTGCGAAAGAATTTACCCTTGACATACTTCACAGATGCGCAGGATGATCTACTAAAAACTCAAGAAGCTATTCCAAGATTACATGAAATATATGTAGACCACGAAAGAAGCGCACTTCCAAGCACTGGCCGTGTGGAAGTGGTATTCCGAGGAAAAACAACTACTACAGATGACAAATCAGCTTATGGATATTGGAAAGAAGGTCACAAAACGGAGAAGTTCGATTTATATCGTGCGGTAGAAAATGTTATTTCTCGTTCTGATCGAGACCTATCTGATGAAATTGAAACAACAATTACTCATCAGCGAGCTGTTCAATCTGGTGAAGATTTACGTCAAAGTAGTGAAATAACCGACAAATACTTTGGTTTTTCAAGAGAAAAAGACATAAAAGATTATGAGCCCGGTACACAACGTAAGAACGAAGTCTTACACGAAGAATCGGCAGATAAAACGCAAATAGTTAGCAGGAAAGATGAAAATCCATATGAAGTAAAAAAAGCAGAATCTACCATCGGTAACAAGAAAATGAAATTTACTGAAAAAGTCTTATATAAGAAAACACAACACCTGGGAACAAGTGACAAAGTGATTTCTACCGGAGGACAAAAAGAAACAGTGGCTACAGAACATGAAATACAAGGTATTATTCAACCTGAAGTAACCTTCACCGTTGAAGAAACACACCAACATTTTGAGCAGACATCACAAGATATCAAACTTGATGACCCTCATTTGAAAAGGACAAGCCGTGTAACACAGAAGTTTGGTCTCTTTACAAAAACAATTACAGATCATGAAACGATTTTGGAGAATGGAGTTAAACCAAAATCAGAACAATCCACTCATGTTACGTTAAGTGATGGAGCGTATAATGGTTTAAGTTCATTTACAACAAATGTACTTGATTTCTCTTTCAATCCTGAAGTTCGAACACCACGAAATGTTCGGAATGCCGGACTTGACATATTGGTAGAAAGTGCAAATGGATGGGCTCATTCAAATGTTATTGTGTATCAAAATTCTGTTCACTCATTACTCGTCGCCAGCGCATTCAGAATAGGAGGAACAACCATTAAAATATTTGCATCTTCGAATGGTGACAATTTAAATTTGAAAGAACTATCCAAGAATGTATTATTAGCAAGTGCACCTTCACTTGCATCTATAGCCGCTAGCTCAAGTTCAAGTATTCCTATATCATCAAAAACTTATATTGGTGAAATAGTAAGTTTGTCCATTCGAGCAACGCAAATAATACAGAGTTATCGAAAAAACAAAATGGATTTATTTGACGTAATAAGAGCACTTTCTCGAGCAACTACAAATGTTATTATCAATTCTGGTATACAAAGATCTCTAGTACCTACATTAATTGCATCTTTGCCGCTCACTCCGTTAGGAGGAACTGCAACTATGGCTGCAACACAAGGTATTCTTAATTATGTGGATATAAATGCAGATTTTGATTCGTTATCCAGTTCCGAAACGATACCACAAGCTACAAAAATCACCGAAGATGGTTTCAAAGAAACAATACAAGTTGAAAAAGAATTTAGTAGACAATTAGGAATATGGTTTCATGTACGTAGTTTGGATTGCTCACTACCAATTGCCCCCGCTTTCACTCGATCAACAAAAACTAGGACCATGAGAAGTAATAATGATGACACACCGATCTCGACGCGAAACAATTTGCCTTTGACACACCTTGTACAAATGAAAGATAATCTTCTGAAAGATCAACAAATTATCCCGAAATCGCACGAAAATTACGTGGAACGTGAAATAAGATCACTTCCGATCAATGGTCGAATAGAAATGGTATTTCGTGAAGTGACAAATGATATAGATACTGCACAAGCCTTTGGATTATGGAAAGAAGGTCACAAGATAGAAAAATCCGATTTATATACAGCCGTAGAAAATGTTAGTTATCGTTCTGATCGAGAATTACCCAAAGAAATTGAAACAACAATTACTCATCAACAAGCTGTTCAATTTGGTGAAGATTTACGTGAAACTAGTGAACCGACAAAAAAGTATCTGATATTTTCAGGTGAAAGACACGTGACACATTATGAGCCCGGTACACAACGTAAGAATGAAGTCTTACACGAAGAATCGGCAGATAAAACGCAAATAGTTAGCAGGAAAGATGGAAGTCCGTATAATATACGACAACACGAAAATGTTTTCGATGCAACGAAAATCAAAGAAATCGAAATGGACCTTTACCACAAGAAAAAACATTTCGAAACAAGCAACGAATTATCGTCTACTGTGAGTATAAAAAATACAATGGCTACAAAACATGAAGTAAAAGGCATTCTTAAACCTGAAATTATCACAGACTATCATGAAATGTCACAAATTTCTGAACGAACAAAAGAAAATAACAAACTTGAAGCACCTTTTTTCGAAAAACGAACAACTATAAGACAAAAATTTGGTTTCTTTACAAACAAAATCAAAACTACTGAACGAATATTCGAAAATAGCACGGCTGAAGTCTTAAATCAACATACTCATACAACATTAAGCGATGCAGCATATAATGGTTTGAGTTCACTTACAACAAATATACTTAATTTCTATTTTCATCCTGAAGTTCGAACACCACGAAATATTCTAAATACCGGTCGCGATATATTAGTAGAAAGTGCAAATGGATGGGCTCATTCAAACGTTACTGTAAATCAAAATTCTGTTGGCTCATTACTCGTAGCTGCTGCATTTAGAGTTGGAGGAACAACCATTAGAACATTAGCATCTTCGAATGGTGACAATTTAAATTTGAAAGAACTATCCAAGAATGTATTATTAGCAAGTGCACCTTCACTTGCATCTATGGCCACCAATGCAATTTCACGAGTTCCTACATCATTGAAACATTATACCGGTGTAATAACAAATCTAATTATTCGAATAACACAACTTATACAAGATTATCGAGAAGAACGCGTCAATAGATCAGAACTATTTATTGCAATTCTTCAAGAAATCTTAATTGGGACAATAATTCATATTTTACAAGAGTTTGTGCCGGAAATATTGAAATTTTTACCATTTAATTCATTAGTGTTATCTGTGCTTACGTGTATAACGGTAGCTGCAATTATATTTGGTATTTCAAAAATGCCATCATGGATGAAGAACAAGTGGCGTGATAGACAAAATGAAAAAGAATTTCGAAATCTTTGCCAACTACTAAATTTAACTCGAACTGCAACAAATGCAGAGATTAATTCTCAATATCGACGACTCGCATTAGCGGTTCATCCAGATAAAATTAATGATGATGGAACAAAATTTAAGAAACTTACTAAAGATGTTCAACGATTTCATGAACTCCGATTACTATATGATATCTCTCAAGATAAAACAGAAACACAAACAATTATCGAACGACTCAAAGAGATTTTAAAAGATTCTATGGCATTTTTTCGATATTTCACACAAATATCGACTACATCGACCGATTCTTCTACGTTGATGTTAATTTAATAGATGAATGACACTATTTTTTTTCATATTCAAGCATTTTTAATAATATGAATTATATTATATGTTACACAATATAAAATTGTCGATCGGATGATTTTAAACGAAATCGATACTCACACCCTCACCCACACCCACCCACACCCTCACCCACCCTCAAGATGCGAGATTATATATTTTACTAAGAAAAAGAGTTGAAAAACAAATTTTGCGTTTTCAATGTCAACCATTTTTTATTCAGCACTTTCATTATAATATTTTGCATCATCGATCTCTTCTTCCCATTTCATCATTCGTCCACAAAATAAGTCTTTCATTGGACATGGTAGTTGATCAATTTCACCAGTAAATAACCTTAATTTAACAACAGTAATGTTTGGTTGACTTTTTGGTGCTTTCGAATAGATAGGACTACCACATTTACTACAAAAATAACGCTCGACTTTGTATCAGTATCATCATATTTTGCAATTAATGATTTCTCATCGATGAGAGCCACTTTTCCGTTGAGCGACATTAGATCTAATGATGCTAATCCAGCAACACCACGTTGACATTTTGAGCAATGGCATAAGAGAACTTCATTTGATTTATCAGTTAATGATTCTCGATCAATTTTCACTATTATATCTTTACAAAGGCAATAACCGATTAGTTTCTTCGATGTTAAAAATGAAATCATATCAAAGGTTATTGCATACGAATTTTATTTAATGAAAATAAAAGATGACATGAACGCATGTGTAATATATGTGACTGTAACAATTACGAACAAGTTGAGCATGTTTGATTAAATGCATAGCAAAAAACGAGAACACCAAGGAAATCATCAGCAAAGCTGCAACTTTGGGAAATCTCAATTGAAACAGCCATGCATACGTCATCACAAAGAACATTAATGACATTATCATCATTATATGATCCGTTTTTCGATTATTGAATGAACGACGAGGCTGTGTAGAAACTAAGAACGGCGTGAATTGGAAATGTATGAATTTATTTTACTGACTGAACTGAACTGGAACTTGAGGATTATAATCGACAACATTTTGCAAGTTTTTCTTTCTAAACAAGAAACAAGCAATAAATCTTTTTTGATTCTTGTTGAGTTGCATTTTAAATTTCCTTACAAAGTTCTGTGTAGTTTTCGAAAATCTTCTGCATGTAACTGCTTCCCAGGTCGAAGAATTCGGTGCGGATCTGACCGGTTCCAAAAAATTCGAGCTATTTCATGGAAGCAGTGTTCGTGAGGACGGACCCAGTGGGTGGATTTATCGAGTTTCACCTGGAACCGACCGGGATCTGTCATAAACAGCAGTCGCATTCGGTTACAGAATTTTTCTGCTAAATTCTGAGCAGATCCCAGGCGTTTCCAGCCGGAAAATAATGGAGTACTGTTTCCGGAGCCATCGTCCTGGGTTGTAATTCTTCAATTGGTGTGACCATCGATACTTTCTTCTGGAATGATATGCGAAACGCATATATTCTTTTCGCTTATTTCTGTTTCTCTATGAAATCAGGTACATCGATGAGTATGTCTACTCCGATCTTTTTGATTTTATCTTGTATATGCCTAGGAATGCCTCGATCGCCAATGTCACTGACCTACTTTTGCCATGACGAAAACAAAAGAAAGGTAAAGTGAATATTGTTTTCCCTATTCGAACAGTCGAAAATCGATGCCTCCATAGAAGAGCGAATCTTTATCAGATCGATATACATAGCCTTCATTTGATCGCTGATTCCATTCTTAACAAAGTCCTATTCATATTTATTTTAACAATCGATTTCAAAAATACGTTCTGACATATGTCATAAATCAAAATTAAGATAAAAATTCATTTTCAATGTACACAAGAGGAAAATCGAAGTAAAAAAGTCATCTCTTTTTCTTTGCATTACTATCATAATTTGTTCCATCGTGAAAATAACTACTCGTCGTTGGCGTGCTTGCTTCGTGTTTTCGTTTCAAACTTGAACAATTCATCGTTTCATCTCGCTTCTCTTCGTCCAACTTTGATCCAAACAAACAAGTGATTGACAATAGGCGATCCAGTTTATACAAATCATATTTGATTGTTGTCATTTCCACTGTTTTTCTCAGCATTTCTTCTTTGTTTCGAGGCATAGTCGTGGCCATTTGTTTCAAAGCCTTTTCACTCAATATTGTTGAATATTTGATGCCATATTCTGCCGATATGCACTTCAGTTCTTCTTTCAATTTCTCGAGACAACCATCAACCAAACGGTTTCGTGTCGAGCTCGTCGCTTTCATTGATTGAACATTTGGATTCTCTTTCTTTGTACAAACTGATAAGATGATTGGATCAGCGAATGTGGTGTTCTTTCCCAAACGAATATATGCACTGGCTGTACCATAAGTATCATTGATTGAAATGTCTTGATGAAGATAGCCATCAATGATTAACTTCGACAGCAGCCGTTCTACATCTAGATAGAAGAAAGATCGACTTTGAAATGATCGAAAGAGGACAGTGGCTCGTTATTGCACTGACTTATTCTTATGACGTCTTGAGCAATGTTGTATTGTTCGAGTTGATCATGTCCAGCAGCTATGACTGCTTTCTGTTTGCTTCCTTTGAGAACATCAACGAGATAGTTGATTGTTGTTGTTCTCATATTTTGTGTGAGTTGTTCAACCAAAGCAAGAATCTGTTTGGACAATTCGGTAAAATCAACTAGCTTGGCTTGAGCAACACTGCAACAATTGTCACATCGTGTTTCCACGTGTTTTTTACATTGACTCGCCAGATAGCGTTCACCAAAATATTCGAGTAGCAGTGTTCGACGACAATCAACATCGTTGATACAATACGCATAGACGCTATGCAGATTGTCCATGCGTGTTTTTTGTGCGTCGCGTGTTGCATTTGGTGATTGTTCAGCTACAAAAATATGATTCTAATTGAAAAGAAATACTGGTTTTCTTTCTCTTACTCATGATTAGACGCTTTGTTTTCACTAAATCTTGGTAACTATAGAAAAGATAACAATACGCTTGTTCACCATCACGTCCTGCTCGACCCGATTCTTGATAATAGCCCTACATTTGAAGATAGAGTAAAATCTTTCTTGTCAACAAAGTAATCTACTTCAATTGACTTCGGCATCGACAAGTGAATGACAAAACGAACATTTGGTTTATCGATTCCCATTCCAAAAGCAATTGTGGCACAGATCACTTGGTATTCGTCATTAGCCCATCGAGTTTGAACATCAGCTCGTTCTTGATCTTCCAAACCAGCATGATAAGCTTGTGCTGTCACTCCATGTTCGGCCAGATACTGGGCACTTCTCTCACATTCTGCACGTGAAAAGCAATAAACAATTCCACATAAACCAACAAATTGTTCACTCAAACATAGTTGAACTGCCCNCGTTCACATCTAAAATATCGATTTTTGATAAGTTATAACATGTTTTACGAAAGTTTTTGATAATCGCCGGTATAGGTTAGACAAGAACTAATGGTTATTTTTTACAGCGCCATCTTTAACTATACTTAAACTCGATAATTAAGCAAATTTAGGCGATGACCTTAGCTTCTCATCGATTTTTTCAGCATGAAAAAACCTTATTTTAATTGATTTTAAGACGATGAGAAGTCGATTAAAATCAGATTTTTCGCGTTTTTTTTACATGGGACGTGATCAGACGTCAAGGAATGGATGCCATCCATATATTTTCACTCACCAAATACGAATCATTGAGAGGTTCCGTTGCACCATAAGCCGAACAACCACGAGAAGATCGTAATATCAATGAATGGTAGAACTTGAAGGAATGTTAATTCAACGAACATTAGCTGAAAACTATGCTTCACAATGTAAGGATCTGATTTGATTGATAAAAAATTTATTTTGATTATTTCAGGTGGATTTTGTACACCAGGAATGTGTATGTCACTCTATGATACATTGAGTAATTGTTCAACAGAAAAACAACCAACATTACATGATATAGAAGATTCATTTAATGGAAATATTTGTCGTTGTACAGGTTATCGACCAATTTTAGATGGTGCAAAGAAATCTTTTGCAGAAAAAGATATTCCACAACAATTAATAGTCGATTTTCCAAAAGAATTAGAAGAAGACTGCGAGAAAAAACCAATTTACATCAAAGGTAACTGCTGGGATATTAGAATTTATTTTACCAATTGTTTATTTATAGGTACAAATATTGAATTTTATCGTCCATTAACTCTTGATCATTTATTTGATTTTCGAAAACAATGTTCTAATCCAAGTGAAATACATTTTATAGCTGGTAATACTGGAGAAACATTTGATGATATTTTTCATCAACAACGTTATCCAATTCTCATTCATCTTTCTCAAATTTCCGAATTACAAAAACTATCTGAAGAATCCAATGGTCTTACTATCGGTTCTTGTGTAACATTATCTCAATTAAAATTTTATTTTGCTTTAAAACAAGAACATCAACAACTCTATCGAATATTTCATGAACAACTTGATTTCAATGCTAGTCGACAAGTACGAAATCAAGCAACAATTGGAGGACATATTTTAAATCATAGTCATAAACATACATCTGATCTTTTACCGATCTTGTATGTATGTGAAACAAAATTACGATTTATTCATTTATTAAATAAAAAGAAAATTGAAATTGATATTAAAGATTTTAAAACGATGAATCGAGATGATTTATTACTTGTATCAATATTTATTCCATTTATACAGACAAATGAATATCTTCAATCTTATAAACAAGCACATCGACGTAAACATGATACTGGTATTGTTACATGTGCATTTCGATTGAAATTAAATGTAAAAGAGAACAAAATTCAATTATTTAATATGGCATTTGGTGGTTTTGGTGATGGTCTAATTTTAATACCAGAAAAAACAATAAATTATATAAATAATAATGAACATCAATGGACAAGAAATGAAATGATGACAAATGTGAAAAATCATCTCTTGGAAGAAATACAGTTGGATGAATTTTCTGAAAATGGTCAACCAGAATATCGGTATGTATACATTCTTATGAATATTTATTTTTAAATTTAATTTAATTGCATCGTTTTAGTCGTGCTCTAGTAATTTCATTTCTATTCAAGTTTTATCTATATGTTTCTAATACATCCGAAGAACTTTTTCAAAAACAACGTCCTATTTCTCGAAGTGAACAAATATTTGATACTTCAAAACAAACAAAATATGTTCATCAACCAACTATTCATCATAATGCTTACATTCATGCTACTGGTGAAGCAAAATATGTTGATGATTTGCCTTCAGCACATAATACACTTCATGGTGCACTTGTTTTTAGTAGTAAACCACATGCACGTATTGTATCAATGAATACAGATGAAGCACAAACAATTGAAGGTTTTATTAAATTTTATTCATATCATGATATTCCACCAACTGGTTCGAATAAATTTGGTCCAATAGTAAAAGATGAAGAAATCTTTTCTTCGAAAATGGTTCATTGTATGGATATGGTTATTGGTTTATGTGTTGCAGATACAGAAGAACATGCGAGACAAGCTGCACGATTAGTACGAATTGAATACGAAGAATTAACTCCAGTTATTTTAACAATTGATCAAGCAATTGAACATGAAAGTTATCTAGGTCCACCTGGTCAACAAGAAAGTGTTTTAGAAACTGGAAATATTGAAAAAGGTTTTAATAAATCAGATCATATTATCGAAGGATCATTCTATATTGGTGCACAAGAACATTTTTATATGGAACCAAATGCTTATCTTGTACAACCAGTTAGTGAAGGACATTACACACAATTACATGTTTATGCATCAACACAAGGTGCAACTTCAATACAAGAAGCAGTTGCAGAAGCATTAGGTCTCAATGCAAATGAGGTTATTTGTCATGTTTTACGTGTCGGTGGTGGTTTTGGTGGTAAAGAATCACGTAATATTATTCCATGTGTAGCAACTGCACTTGCTGCTCATCATTTACAACAACCAGTACGTTTATGTTTAACACGTGAAGAAGATATGAAATTAACTGGTCATCGTCATCCGTTTAAAATCTTGTACAAAGTTGGTTTTATGAAAGATGGTCTACTAAAATCTATTGATCTTAATCTTTATGCTAATGCTGGTTGTACATTGGATTCAAGTTTATTGATGATAGAACGAGCAATGACACATGTTGATAATATTTATAAATGTGAAAATCTACGAGTTAAAGGACGAGCTTGTCGAACAAATTTACCAAGTAACACCGCTATGCGAGGTTTTGGTGGCCCAGAAGGTCTTTTATCAGCTGAATTCATTATCGAGCATATTCATAGTTATTTACAATTAAATGATGATCCATCAATTATACGAGAATTGAATATGTATAAACCAGGTGAACGAACATTTTTCAATCAAGAACTTGAAAAGAAAGATTGGTTTGTACCAAAAATGTGGAAGAAATTAAAAGAATCAGGTCAATATGAACAACGTTTAAAAGATGTTAAAGAATTTAATGAGAAAAATCAATTTCGAAAACGTGGTTTAAGTTTAACAGGAACAAAATTTGGTATTGGAGCACCATCAGCTTTATTATTTCATCAAGCTGGTGCATTAATAACAATTTATAAAGATGGAAGTATTTTAATTACACATGGTGGTACGTATTTATCTTACTTTTTTTTAGTTAAGTTATCATTTATTATTTTATAGGAATCGAATTAGGTCAAGGTCTTCAAATGAAAATGATTCAAATAACTGCTGAACAACTTGATATTGATATTTCTTTAATTCGTTTTCATGAAACTTCAACCGATAAAATACCAAATACAACTCCAACAGTTGGATCATTATCAGCTGATCTTTATGGTCCAGCTTTGATCGATGCTTGTCAACAATTAAATAAAAATCTTGCACCAATAAAACATAAACATCCAACATTAACATGGGAAAAACTAATTGAACAAGCATATCAAGAACGTGTACAATTATCTGCTTATGGTTTTTATGCTGTAGCAGAAAAATTTCTGAAATCTAATTATCCAAAAAATGAAATTAATTTTATTTACTTTACACAAGGAGTTGGAATGAGTGAAGTAGAAATTGATTGTTTAACAGGTGATTTTCATATTATAAGAACGGATATTCTAATGGACTTTGCTAAATCATTAAATCCATTTATTGATATTGGACAAATTGAAGGTAAGATAAATTAGAGAAAAACATTCATTTCTTGAACTTTCTTTTTTCTTTGACAGGTGCATTTATGCAAGGTGTTGGATATTTTACTATGGAAGAACTTATTCAGGGTGATTCACAACATCCATGGATTTCACAAGTTGGTTCTCTTCACAATGCTGATCCAAATAAGTACAAATTACCTATGGCAAATGATGTACCAATTGATTTTCGTGTTACACTTTTAAATGAAAATGAAGGAAATGAACGTACTGTTTGTTATTCGTCAAAAGCTGTCGGCGAACCACCTCTATTCTTATCAGTAACAGTACTTTTAGCTATAAAATATGCCATTGAAGCTTATCGAACTGAACGAGAACCATTTACATTAAATGTACCATTAACATGCGAACGAATAAGAATGGCTTGTCAAGATGAATTAGTTGATTCTGTTATTTCAAAAGACAAAGATCATGTATTTCAACCTTGTGGTAGTTTTTAATCTTATTGTATTTGATTTTAACTTATATTTTTGTTCTATTTGAATAAAAAAATCTATGCTTAGAAATTCTTTAAGATAGATATAGTTTCAAGTTTATTACAATGAATAATATGTGAATGTTACAAAAACAGTGATTACATTTTTTTAAAATTTAACCTATCAATTAGTCAAATTGAAATAGTGAATATATTTTTAATTATATGTCTATTATCAAAGCATTTATACTTGTTTGGTGTTCGATTCATCTACTTTTTCTTTCAAAAACTTCTTTCTTCTGAAATATTTGTTAAAACTACCGATAATTCGACAATTTTGTGTATTTGTGAATTAGAAAAGAACAAGATATTGAATTTTGTCGGATTTATTATATGAAAATAAAAAAAGATCATTCATAACAAGCATTGTAACGCACGAACATGAAAACATTTCTTTTCTAAGGAGACCTGTCCGAATTCCGTGAATTACTAACTCATGAGGAATTCATGAATCCTAATTCATCTAACAAATATATGCAATAACAGCAAACACATAGCATTATCATCGCAAAGAATCCAAGGAAGTCAAGGAACCCAAGGAAGTCAAGGAGCCCAAGGAACTCAAGGAATCCATGGAATCCAAGGAATCCATGGAACCCAAGGAACTCAAGGAATCCATGGAACTCAAGGAATCCATGGAACCCAAGGAACTCAAAGAACCCAAGGAATCCACGGGATCCAAGGAACTCGACGAATCCAAGGAAGTCAAGAAATCCACGGGATCCAAGGAACTCGAAGAATCCAAGGGATGCATGGGATGGGTGAATACGACAGAACGACAAGTGTTTCAAAAATTAGAACGAAGGTGATCGTCTGCGAGAAATTCTGCCTATAAACAGTTAAAAGAATTCGAATGAGCAAATGAATGCTGCAGATTCAGACGGGGAATTAGGTTTCACGAGCCTGTGAGAAAAAAACTCATACGTTTTGCACGAAGGTGGGGCAAGATGACTGTCACTCACGATATTTTTTTCCAAAATCACACGTCTACGGATAAACTGTTTGTGCTTGTCGACTCTCAATGTTTGTCTTACAAAGAACAAATCGCGTGTCCTATGAATCGAAAAATTAGAATGCCGTCTTAAAATGCTATTACGGACGTCGTACTTCAATATGGTGATAAGCATGTAAACGATATTCATGTCCTGCGAGGCATTGATCCTTTAGAGCTATCCACATGATTCAGTTGGCCTTCGAGCCACGAACAGTTTCGACATGCTCATAATTTCAGTCTCATACCACACCCTCAGTCAGACTCATCGTCATCATCGGGCTCTTCACCCTCATCCCACACCCTCAGTCACACTCATCGTCACCATCGGAATCTACACCCTCAGGCCACACCCTCAAGATGCTTCCCTGGGTTTCTCGACTTCCTTCGGTTCTTTGGGTTCCTTGGATTCTTTGACTTCATTGGGTTCCTTGGATTCTTTGACTTCCTTGGGTTCCTTGGATTCCTTGGGTTCTTTGGGTTCCTTGACTTCTTTGGGTTCTTTGGGTTCCTTGACTTCCTTGGGTTCTTTGGGTTCCTTGGATTCTTTGAGTTCCTTGGATTCGTTGGATTCTTTGGGTTCCTTGACTTCCTTGGGTTCTTGGGGTTCCTTGAGTTCCTTGACTTCCTTGGGTTCTTTGGGTTCCTTGGGTTCCTTGACTTCCTTGGGTTCTTTGGGTTCCTTGGATTCTTTGAGTTCCTTGGATTCGTTGGGTTCCTTGCGTTCCTTGGGTTCTTTGGGTTCCTTGGATTCTTTGAGTTCCTTGGATTCTTTCGGTTCCTTGGGTTCCTTGACTTCCTTGGGTTCTTGGGGTTCCTTGACTTCCTAGGCTTCTATGGGTTCCTTGACTTCCTTGGGTTCCTTGGATTCCTTGGATTCTTTGACTTCATTGGGTTCTTCGGGTTCCTTGGATTCTTTGAGTTCCGTGGATTCTTTGGGTTCTTTGGGTTCTTTGGGTTCCTTGACTTCCTTGGGTTCTTTGGGTTCCTTGGATTCTTTGAGTTCCTTGGATTTAGCAGATTTGTTAAATAGCTTGATTGCGTTTAAGAGTAAGGTTGTTAAAGATCCTATGAATGAAGGTAATTGTTTGAGAAAAATAGGATTCATGAATTCCTCATGAGTTAGTAATTCACGGAATTCGGATACTGCTGTTTCTAAGAGATAAAAAAAAAAGAAAAGAAATCACAAACACCACAGATTAGTTTATCATCTGGCATCTATCCAAACGCCTGGATTATCGATAGAAGTCGCAATATAAGGATTTATCTATTGAAATTTACATTTAAACCGAGACGAAGAACGGACATATACGCCCTTCGAACTCACTTATCATGCATATGGTTTATTTTTAGTTTCTTCTCTGCTATATAACAAGGTGAAATATATCTTCATTTTAAACCAACTATCAATAAATTTCATTTATTCTCATTTTAATAATCAAATACAAAAAAAAGATATTCTAACATATGGAACAAATCAAAAATAAGATTAAGAAAATCGTTGTCAATTTGCATCGAAGAGATATATGAATGAAAAGATCATCTGTTCTTCTTCGAATTACTATTTGTTCCACCAAATACTAAACAACGAGGAGAAGGCCGTAATAGCAATAAATGGTACCATTTGACGCAATGTTAATTCATTGATCCATAAGTAGACGACGATAACGATGATGACGATAATTAATCCAAAGAAGGCGTTGATTGAAGAAGATTTTCGACGAACAGATGAATCATTTGTTTGTGCATTATCTAAATGAAAACGTGAATTTAAATAAATCAGTCTTTTTTCTTTACCAATGAGCTGACCAGGACCATTTGTATGAGTAACTTCATCGATAGGTTNAGTTATATCTTGATGGAGATAACCTTCGAGAATTAGTTTGGATAAAAGACGTTCTAAATCTAAACGAAATGAAAGATCAACAATGAATATTGATTTATTCATATACAGATATTCATCTTACTTGTTTTTGTCACTTCTGAAGCAACATTATATTGTTCTAATTGATCATGTCCTGCATCTTTGATAGCTCTTTGTTTACTTCCTTTCAAAATATCAATAATATAATTAATTGTGGCTGATCTCATATGTTGTGTGAGTTGATCAACTAATGCAAGAATTTGTTTGGATAATTGAGTAAAATCAACTAGTTTTGTTTGAGCAACATTACAACAATTATCACATCGTGTTTTAACATGTTTTTTACATTGACTTGAAAGATATCGTTCACCAAAATATTCAAGTAATAATGTTCGACGACAATCAACATCATTCAAACAATAAGCATAAACACGATTTAGATTATCTAATCGAACTTTTTGTGCATCACGTGTTGCACTAGGTGATTGTTCAGCTAGCAAAAGAAAAAGAGAAGAAAATTAGTATTTGAATTAGAAACTAAATGATTGAATCTTCATACTCATGATTAAACGCTTTGTTTTCACTAAATCTTGATAACTATAAAACAGATAACAATATGCTTGTTCACCATCACGTCCTGCTCGACCAGATTCTTGATAATATCCCTAAATTCGAGTATACAAAACACTGTTATTATCTTTTGTAAGAACAAACTTCAATTGATTTTGGCATTGATAAATGAATAACAAATCGAACATTTGGTTTATCAATTCCCATTCCAAAAGCAATTGTTGCACAAATCACTTGATATTCATCATTTGCCCATTGTGTTTGAACATCTGCTCTATCTTGATCATTGAGACCAGCATGATAAGCTTGTGCTGTGACTCCATGATTTGATAGATATTGTGCACTTTTTTCACATTCAGCACGTGAAAAACAATAAAGAATTCCACATAAACCAACAAATTGCTCACTTAAACATAATTGTACTGTACGAGCCAATGCTGCATCAGTTTTACCTTTTGGAAGACATTTATAAACAAGATTTGAACGATTAAATGATTGAATAAATAATTTTGATAAATGTCGTTCAATTTTCATTTGATGAAGCATATCACATTGAACACGAGGAGTAGCCGTTGCAGTTAATAAAGTGAACGGAACATTTGGATATCGTTGACGTAATGTACCAATTTTGACATAATCAGGACGAAAATCATGACCTAGAGATAATGAAAAGAATTGAAATTATACAATAAAAGATATATGATCTTACCCCAATCTGAAATACAATGTGCTTCATCAATAACGAATCGTGCTAAATTATTTTTCATATAAAGATGAGCAAATAATTTATTCAATTGTTCACTTTGACCAATTTTTTCTGGTGTAACATAAACAAGTTTTAATTTAGGTTCAGGAGCATAACATTGAGCATAGATAGCTGAAACTTCAGCTGGAGTTCGATCACCGGTTAATGATGCAGATGGAATTCCGAGTGATGAAAGTTTTTGTGTTTGATCAAGAATTAATGAACGTAGTGGAGATACAACAAATGTGACACCATGATCAAGAACAGCTGGTAATTGATAACATAGAGATTTACCACCACCAGTTGGCATAAGAACAAAAACATGAAAACGTCTTTCTAATGCACAATTGACAGCTTCTTGTTGATTCGATCGAAATTTTCTTAAACCAAATAAAGCATGAAAACGTTCTAACATTGTTTTTGTATGATTAAATTGTTTATCTCGATATTCTGGTCCATCATCATGAACATCTGCTGAAATCCATGTTACTTGATCAGATTCTTCATCATCATTATCTTCATTCGTCGATGTAATATTATCCAATGTTTGAAAATCATTGTCATCATCATCATAATTAATATCAAATGATTTTATTGATTTTAATTGTGATTTATTTGAAAAAGATGGTGTAGATTGATCAAGTGACCAGTCATCAAAAAAAGCATCTTCAAAATGGTTTATAGGGTTCGATTGATTATTACTAGAAAAGGAATCTGATGACTAAAAGAAATGAAGAATAGAAAAAGGAATTTGATTTTGAATATTGAGTAACATACTGAATTGGTAAGAAGTGGATTTAAATCTTCTTCTTCTTTTTGACATAAACTACAACCAGTACCTTTAATCATCACAGCTTTAAAACATTGAAAACATGTTGTATGTCCACAAGCATCATTAACTGGACGATGAACACCTGCAGTATCGAATGGAGTTTGACAGACTGGACATTGATTAGTTTGTTGAGTCGCTGTTGTTTTGACCAAAGAAGAAGAAATCGGTCGAGTATCGGTCGATGGGATTGAAAAGAATGTGGGAGTTGAAGGTACAGAATGAACGTCAGCAATGATTGCNCGATAACGATGATGACGATAATTAATCCAAAGAAGGCGTTGATTGAAGAAGATTTTCGACGAACAGATGAATCATTTGTTTGTGCATTATCTAAATGAAAACGTGAATTTAAATAAATCAGTCTTTTTTCTTTACCAATGAGCTGACCAGGACCATTTGTATGAGTAACTTCATCGATAGGTTGACCATTCAGCACATGGTTTAAGTTTTTGTGCTAAATTAAATAAAACAATACGTAAAATAAATTTTCTTCTACTCATCGGGAAGCATATTTGCATTTACTTACAAAATCTAATGCAGTTTTTAATCTTTTTGGTCCATCGAATTCTTCAGCCATTGATTGGATGATGGATTTCTTTTCCATGCCTAAACAGAATGATTATGAAATGTATACATGTATGTTTCGTTTATAAAGATCATGCATCTTTCTCTTTCTCTCTCTTTACTGCTTCTTTCGATCATCTTTATCGCTTTGTTTATCTCTATAAAATTAGGTACTTTAGGCAGTATCGACGCATATGTATACTTCAATCTTTTGTTTTCATATACAAAACTACCTAGAAATACCTCGATCACAAGAAATAACTAATGTGCTTAAATCATGATGAAAACAAAGATCATAAGAAAAACAAAGATCTTTTCTATGTAGACTGAATCGAGGTGATATTCATATATTCATGTTCATTTGAAATCAACTATCAATAAATTTCATTTATTCTCATTTTAATAATCAAATACAAAAAAAAAAAGATATTCTAACATATATGGAACAAATCAAAAATAAGATTAAAAAATCGTTGTCAATTTACACAGAAGAGAAATATGAATGAAAAGATCATCTCTTCTTCTTTGAATTACTATTTGATTTATCTTGAAAATAAGTGCTCGTTGTAGGTGTACTTATTGCTTCATGTTTTCGTTTGAGACTAGAATTCAGCGAATCACCTTGTTTTTCTTCATCTAATTTTGCTCCAAATAAACAAGTAATTGACAATAATCGTTCTAGTTTGTACAGGTCATATTTGATTGTTGTCATCTCGACTGTTTTTCTTAACATGTCTTCTTTTGTTCGTGGCATTACTGTTGCCATTTGTTTCAAAGCTTTTTCACTTAGAATTGTCGAATATTTGATATTATATTCTGATGATATAGATTTTAATTCATCTTTCAATTTGGCTAAACAACTATCGACAAGACGATTATGTGTAGAATTTGTTGATGCAGTTGTTGTCACATTTGGATTTTCTTTTTTCACACAAACTGATAAAGTAATTGGATCAGAAAATATTGTATTTTTTCCAAGACGAATATATGCATTAGCTGTACCATATGTATCATTAACAGTTATATCTTGATGGAGATAACCTTCGAGAATTAGTTTGGATAAAAGACGTTCTAAATCTAAACGAAATGAAAGATCAACAATGAATATTGATTTATTCATATACAGATATTCATCTTACTTGTTTTTGTCACTTCTGAAGCAACATTATATTGTTCTAATTGATCATGTCCTGCATCTTTGATAGCTCTTTGTTTACTTCCTTTCAAAATATCAATAATGTAATTAATTGTGGCTGATCTCATATGTTGTGTGAGTTGATCAACTAATGCAAGAATTTGTTTGGATAATTGAGTAAAATCAACTAGCTTGGCTTGAGCAACACTGCATCAATTGTCACATCGTGTTTCCACATGTTTTTTACATTGACTCGCCAGATAGCGTTCACCAAAATATTCGAGTAGCAGTGTTCGACGACAATCAACATCGTTTATACAATACGCATAGACGCTATGCAGATTGTCCATGCGTGTTTTTTGTGCGTCCCGTGTTGCATTTGGTGATTGTTCAGCTACAAAAATATGATTCTGATTTAAAATAAACACAAATTTTCTTTCTCTTACTCATGATTAGACGCTTTGTTTTCACTAAATCTTGGTAACTATAGAAAAGATAACAATACGCTTGTTCACCATCACGTCCTGCTCGACCCGATTCTTGATAATAACCCTACGTTTGAAGATAGAGTAAAATCTTTCTTGTTAACAAAGTAATCTACTTCAATTGACTTCGGCATCGACAAGTGAATGACAAAACGAACATTTGGTTTATCGATTCCCATTCCAAAAGCAATCGTAGCACAGATCACTTGGTATTCATCATTAGCCCATCGAGTTTGAACATCAGCTCGTTCTTGATCTTCCAAACCAGCATGATAAGCTTGTGCTGTCACTCCATGTTCGGCCAGATATTGCGCACTTCTCTCACATTCTGCACGCGAAAAGCAATAAACAATTCCGCATAAACCAACAAATTGTTCACTCAAACATAGTTGAACTGTCCGAGCCAATGCTCCATCAGTTTTGCCTTTTGGGAAACACTTGTAAACAAGATTGGAACGATTAAACGATTGAATGAACAACTTTGATAAGTGTCGTTCTATTTTCATCTGCTGGAGCATGTCACGTTGAACGCGAGGAGTAGCCGTCGCAGTTAATAATGTGAAAGGAACATTTGGATATCGTTCACGAAGTGTGCCGATTTTAACATAATCAGGACGAAAGTCATGACCTAGAAAGCTTCATAAGAAAATAAACTAGTCGATAGAAAAAAATCTCACCCCAATCTGAGATACAATGTGCTTCGTCGATGACAAATCGTGCCAAGTTGTTGTTCGTATAAAGATGAGTAAATAATTTATTCAATTGATCACTGTGGCCGATCTTTTCAGGAGTTATATAAACAAGTTTTAGTTTTGGTTGTGGAGCATAACATTTTGCAAAGATCGCGGCTACTTCAGCTGATGTTCGATCGCCAGTCAATGCTGCACTTGGAATACCCAATGAAGACAGCTTTTGTGTTTGATCAAGAATTAACGAACGAAGTGGAGACACAACAAACGTTATACCATGGTCAAGTACAGCTGGTAATTGATAGCATAATGATTTACCACCACCTGAATAAAAAAAACGTAAGACATGAGTTCTCTTTTTTTGTCAAAAATGCTCACCTGTTGGCATAAGAACGAAAAGATGAAAACGTCTTTCCAACGCACAATTAACAGCTTCCTGTTGATTCGATCGGAATTTTCGAAGACCAAACAGAGCGTGAAAACGTTCTAGCATTCTTTTTGTATGACTGAATTGTTTATCTTGATATTCTGGTCCATCATCGTGAACATCTGCAGATAGCCAGGTGACTTTATCCGGTTCTTGTTCATCGTCATTCACCGATGTTATACTTTCAAATGTTTGAAAATCATTGTCATCGAATGTTTTAATCGTTTTCAGTGATTTAGTTCTAGACGAAGAAGAACAAGATGATTGATCGAGTGACCAATCGTCAAAAAACGCATCTTCAAAATGATTGACTTTATTTGACTGATCACCAGTTGAAAATTTTTTGGATGGCTGAACAAAAATAAGAAATGAGAAATCGCCATTTATGTCTATAAACTTACAGATTGATCTGACTTTTGTGAATTTAAATCTTCTTCTCGTTGACACAATGTACATCCAGTCGCTTGTATCATAATGGCTTTAAAACATTGAAAACATGTTGTATGTCCACAAGCATCATTCACTGGTCGATGAAGACCTGCAGTATCGAATGGAGTTTGACAGACTGGACATTGATTAGTTTGTTGAGTCGCTGTTGTTTTGACCAAAGAAGAAGAAATCGGTCGAGTATCGGTCGATGGGATTGAAAAGAATGTGGGAGTTGAAGGTACAGAATGAACGTCAGCAATGATTGCAGAACTTGGTGCAAATTCATCGATTTGAGTTNCGAGACAAAACAATATTGACACTTGAACCAATAAATGTTTGAATTAATTGAAGAGAAACAATAAATGATTGATCCGAATCTTCAACTGGTCGTGTAACTAATTCATAAAGTTCATGTCGAGCTGGACTTGATGGAGGACGAAATGACGCTAATAGACGATTTGTCGTGGAATCATAATGAAGACTAGATAAATTCTCTACCAAAAACAAACGAATACATTTCTCCCATACAAAAAACAACTAATGAAATTTACTGTCGATAGGTAAAGCATGATAACGATATTCACTATTGGGAACATGTTCATAAAATCCACTTTTATCATTACTTCCAACAAGTAATCCACTAGATTGAAAAGAGCCACTTCGTTGAATATATTGTAAACTAACAATCGGTGATGTTGTGGATAAACTTAATGTTTCAACACTTGATGATAATGTTGTTTCACCTGTTTGAAGTTGTCGTCGGTCGAAAACTTGAACACGACCATTGTTTAGTCCAGCATAAATGATATTTGAATCATCAAGATTCCAAGCACAACTCCATACTTGAGATGCACATTCACATCTAAATTTTCCGATGAAAGTCAAATTATTCCGAAAAAGATGTTCAGCTTACAAAAGATTAAATGTATTTCTTGTATAATCGAATAAACGCATTGTTTTATCCCAGGCACAAGATAGTAGAAGATCACCATGGAGTTGAATATCACGAATAGGTTTCGTATGACGAAGTGTTGTATATTCAGGCGCACGACCACCATCTATCAGACTGATCTATTTCGGCACACAGAAATCAAATCATTTCATTCCTGACTTATCTTTATACCTTTTTGATTCCGTAGCCTGGATATAAACTATTATTTGTTGGTTGAGTGACAAAAAGCCATTGATGGGATGGAGCATAGGCAAGAACACGACACATTCCCTGAAGAAAAGTCGTTGTTTCGAATTTTAGAAAAGATCTTGATTTCGATTTACTTCTGGTATTTTAACAACAGTTTCTAATCGCATGTTGATTGGAGGTGGTGGCGGTGGAGCAACATTTGTATCTGTCGAAGATTCTTCTGCGGTTTCTCCGAGATTAGTTAAACCTTGTGTCATTCTAAACAGACAAATCAATCTAAAACGAAGTGCTTCGAAAAAGAAGGTATCTACTTTAATAATCGATCGTGTTCGTTTTGTAAACGTTTTAATTGATCTTTGATGATATCGTATGCTAATTGTAATTCCGCTTTTTCGTACGCGAGTTTTTTTCTTGCTTTTTTTTCTAAGTCTCTTTCTCGAATAGCATTATCTCGTTCACTTGTGTCTAATACTTGAAGTGCTCGACAATAAATTCGGCGCAGATCTTTCTTTTTCACTGATGATTGACATTGAGGACATTTCGACGAAGTACGGAGCCATTTTTCAATACATCTATTAGGCAAAAAAGAAGGAGAAGTCTTTTATATGTGATTTTCGGAAAGAAACGAACATTCGTCCAAATAGATGACCACATTCAGTTGCGACGAGACGATGTTGACCAGAATTTGTCCATTCTTCGAGACAAATTGGACAAACTTCTGCATCATTTTGAATAATTGTTCGCGAAGCATCTTCTTTTTCATCGTTATCATCGTCGCTTTCGTTCAATTTAGTTTTGATTCGCTTATTGGATGACGTTATTGGTCTTGGTAATGTTTCAGTTTCTTGCGATGACGTCGATGATGAACGTCGTCGACGATTTGTTGATGTATCGTCGGTTGTTATCGACGCATCAAGATTGATCAGTTCAATAGGAGCATTTCGATTTAGATCTTCAGTATCATCATCAATCGTGACTAGAATGTTCTTCGTAAATGAATGCAATTCGATATGAAGATGAACTTACTCATAGTATAACTGAGAATAAATTGTTTAGTAAAATGTTCAATGTTGGGACGAAGAAGTACAGATGCAAAGATATGAGAATGAAACAAAAATAAATAACGAACAGATTTGTTACGAAGAGCAGTCATCTGTTTTTGATTTCGACCAATCAGCAATCAGATCCGCAAAAAATAAAAATGACTTGACAACGAGATGAATGTTGTCGAACATTCACTATTGAAATAAATTTACCTTGAAAAATAATCTTTTCCTACAAAACACGAAACAAATATAATTATACATGAAGAAAATCGTCGTTAACGACATCTGCCGTTCTATTGCATCGTTACCATGGATCTGTACTTCCGAGATTCAAGAGAAGCAAACTACCTGTGGTACTTACGATTTTGAGAAGGTGAATATTCAATTGTTTTTTTGAGAAATGAAACACTCTTGTACTCTATTCCATGTCGTATCTATCTTTTAATGGATAATAATTAGAAAATTTTGTTTTAATCTGTATATATTTATGTATTCTTTTTTGTCTGTCTTTATTCATGCGTACTGCTTTGCTATTTTGTGAACAGCAGCAGATTTTTGGCCTTCTTGTGTTATGCGTAGTATTCTGTGACATTATCAATAGTTTCATAGCATTCATTGAGCTTTCTCTTAGATTTCTCGTCGCGAGAAACTGTCGTCGATACATACCATGCGTCGTTCGGATATGAATTAATTCATCATTTATTTAGAAAATTAGCTTTCTAAGTTCCATATTGAAAACGTTGAATGAAAAGAGAAAAAATCACAAAATATGTAAAAATAGCCGTAGAAAAAGCACTCAAGAAAAATTTCAACAGTTTTCAGGTTAAAAGCACATAGTAGAAATGGACTATCTCTTGGTTTCACGCCGACTAAAAGCAAAAAGAAGGCGACTTCGATTCAAAAGAAAGCGACGCACGAATCATCACATACTTGTGGATCTTCTAAATCATTCGGAATGTTGAACGTTTGTCGAACTTCTTCGGGTGTTTTATCTTTAATCATATCGGCTATAGTTTTACAAGCCATATCAAGTAATTTTATCATGCCTAAGTAGTTCGATGCCTAGAAGAAAAGAATTCTAGTCAATTAAAAACTGATTCTCTCCTTAACCAATCTCACAGACCATAATTATTTCAAAAATCATCTGTTGATCAATCTTAAAGTATTTTATATCCCACTCTTGAAGATAAACAACTCGTTTAGCTTTTGGTTGGCCGTCTTCGTCTTCAATCTCGTCGTCTTGGTGGTGTTCCGCCCATTCTATGATCTAAAAATTTCAATCGATTCCTCAGTTTTCCAATGGAAAATTCCCATACTTTTTTCAAAACTTCGGCATTCACATTCGCTAGTTGAACCGGTTTATCAGATGTGTCGTCTTCGCTCAAGACTGAAACATAATCAAAAATTTTCAATGATTGTGTTCTACAAAGAAATTTTACCTTCGGACATTTTGATAGGGGCCCACTGTTTTGCGATGGTTGACTTTACTTCCAGAATCTCATTATCACTTGTTTCTACTCGGATTATATCACCAGACATTGTTCAGTCAAAATTTTACTTGATTTGATACTTAAAACGAAGCCAAGTTTTTAATCTTCGTTTCCTGTAAAGAAAGTATAAAGCTAAGTTGTTGAATTTTTTTGCAAAAGACTACTTTACTACTTCCTATATATCGGTTTGTTCGACGCGACGATGAAAAATAGACGACAGGACAGAGAAAATGATGCAATTTATTTTTGACGATGATGGCAAAAAACAAAGTTTCGTCATGGTTGTGAAAAAACCTTGTTTTTCTTTTCTTAGCGACACCTATAGGAAAATATTTTTACACGCCAAGTAATTAATTGAAATATTTTTCTATTTTCTATTTTGATTTTCGAAGATATAAAGTGAAGTTCGATGTGAAATGGTTTTCATCAGAATTTAATTTGATCTGAAGTTCAGATGTAACGCTTGGTAAACTCAAGAAATAATCCATGAAGACATATTTTCTTTTCACTAGTTATGGATATCTAGCGAATCTCTTTTCTTATTCAGATTTATTTAAGTTCGATACTTTCTTCAAGACGAGTAAGAAGAAGATGATTGAACGAATCGTTCAATGAGCATTCGTTCTTGTTCATTAACAGATTTACATCAAGAGGTAAAATGAGGAGTAAAAAAAGAAGATGAAGTAATTTTCGTTTATTTGGATTTCAGAATGAAAATCTTGTCTTAAAACCGCTTTTGCCATCGAATCCAACTAATAAAGAAGTAAGCTTTGTTTCTAGATATCCGTTTTGTATGTGTATGAGATCTACTGAACTTTCCTTTCCTCTATAATTCTAATTGTTAGTCTTCTAATCATCTGTCGCGAAGCGATGAACAACGAAATATTTGCTCTGCTTTCGTTTCGAGACTAAGAAACTTCCGTAAGTGCTTGTAAACTACGCTCTTTCATAGTAAAAATTCTTGTTTAATTCCTTTGTTATAACCAATCGAATTGTTTGTTGAGGTTGTAAAATGGCTACCCAAGCATCTCCACAATACTGTTATAATTCCGTCAAATGGATTCCTGTTCTATTCATTCTTGCAATTGTTGCTTGGTCTTACTACGCTTACGTTGTTCAAATGTGTATTTGTAAGTTTTTTTTTCATGACGCTTTCACCTCATTCCTTGAAATCTTTTAGTTACAGTCGACAGTATTCCACAAAAAGGTAAACCATGATTGGATTTATACGAAATACTCAAATTTGGTGTGTAGTGATCTACTTGTGCATTTATCATCTATTATTGGTTTTGTTTCTTTGGTCTTATTATTGTACAATGTTCAGACCGGCTGCTCGCCCGACAAGCGAAGTAAAACGGAGGTTTTATTCTCGAAAGAGGAGCTTAAATGATACTGTTTTTTAGTTTTATTTGAGCAAAACTGAAGGTGAACAGATCGCCGCGACACAAACAAGTGAAGAACGACGTGCGGCACTTCTTCGTTTTGCTCGTCAATCGAATTTACCTTTGTTAACACGACATTTCGATGGAAGTACGAGCAAATTTCTTGTTTGGATTTTTTTTCGAACAACTCCAATTTGTTTTAGGTATTCGTTATTGTTTTGTTTGTCAATGCATCAAACCCGATCGTGCTCATCATTGCTCTACATGTGAAAAATGTGTTCTTCGATACGATCATCATTGTCCATGGTAAAAATCTTTGGTTTTTTGAAAACAAAGATCAACGGATGATTTCTCTGCAGGACGAATAGTTGTGTTTCATATGGAAATTATAAAAGCTTTATTTTATTTCTGGGTTGGGCTTTACTTTTCTGTACCTATGTGTCAGTAACTTCACTAGAATATTTTATTCAATTTTGGCAGGTAAAATGTCGCAAATAGATTGTTGAGGAGAGTTGATGTTTCGTTTTAGAGTACAATTAATGCTCAAAAGGTAAAATATCTTTTCGAGAGATGATTGAATCATTGTTTTTGAATATGAAGACGGGTGATTCATCGGCGATAACTGCTAGACAATTTCATCTACTTTTTCTTTTCTTTGTGGCTGTTATGTTTGGAATAAGTGTTTCATCGTTATTCTTTTATCATTTGTTTCTAACGGGGAAAAATCGAACGACTTTAGGTAAAAATCAGTGTTTTTGGTTGTCTATTGCAAATTTTCTCGAGTAGAATCATATCGTGCACCGATCTTCGAAAGTGGTCCAGAAAAAGATGGATTTGATTTAGGATGGAAAAGAAACTATCAAGAAATCTTTGGAATAAATCTTCTCAAAGCATTTATTCCAATTCCAACAACGTAGGTTCACTTTTTCATTGTAATCCAATCAATTTGTCTCTTATTCAATAGACGAGGTGATGGAATTCATTATCAAATCAATAGTTCGTTATTATCTGATGCATCCCAAACTGCCTTCAATTCAATTCCAACATTTAATCGAAGGTAAAATCGCTTTTGAACAGAAAAATTAATGTTGATATTTTGTTTGTTTTAGTAACAATCAATTTAATTCAGTGAACAATGACCATAATTATTTATTAATTGATAATTTGACTACGCAAGAAAAATAATTTCTGTATTTCTTAATTTTCTTCATTTAATTAACACGAAATTTGTTCGAAACGACAAAAATAATGTAGATATATTTTTTAGATTATAACAAAACAAAAACCATCGAAACTTCTCATCAATGGCCAATACAAAAGGTAAAAAAAATGAAGGCGGCAGTAACAAAAAACAAATAACAAATGAAGTTGTTACTCGCGAATACACTGTCAATTTGCATAAACGATTACACGGAGTGTGAGTTCGATTATTTGCAATTGATTTTCATTGATAGATTCTCTGTTTAATAGTGCCTTCAAAAAACGAGCACCACGTGCAGTGAAAGAATTGAAAAAATTCGCCGAAAAAATGATGAAAACACCTGATGTTCGTATTGATTCGAAATTAAACAAAGAAATTTGGTCACAAGGAATCAAGTTCGTTGAAGTTTCTCTTTCTGATTGAATCGAACTTCATCGTATCTCTTTTTTCAGTCATGTTCCTTATCGTGTTCGAGTTCGTTTAGCTCGACAACGTAACGAAGATGAAGATTCACCAAACAAACTCTACACATTAGTTACATTTGTTCGAGTACCTTCATTTAAAGNATCGAAAACTTCTCATTTACCTAAAACAACATCTTTATCAACAGCTGATCCTTGGTTAATGGCTATACATTATCTATCTCAATCATCATCCACTGCAGCTTTAGCCAATGCATCAAATTGGTGTGCAAAATGTTCCATACAATTTCGTTTAACAAGTGAATTAGTTCATCATATTCGTGTTCATCATGCAACACGACGTAATCATCATCATCATCATCATCATTATCATCAGTTATCTCCAGAGTTATCAACAGCACGAAAAACAGTTACAAATTCTTCTTCATCAACAAGTCTTACTTGTCATATTTGCTGCGAGACATTTCGTGAACGACATCATCTTACGCGTCATATGACATCACATCGTTAATTTATTTCATAAAGCGATCTTTCTCTGTATTTTATTGCAAAAATAGAAATATGTATTTTATTCAGTTTTTGATTTTCATCTAGTTTATCAGATATCGAAAGAATAAATAGAAAAGAAGAGAACAATCATTCGATGTTTTTCTATATCAGTTTTAGTACAAAGATATTTGAATAAAAACTTTATATAGAAACCATTTTAGAAAATATTTCCATTAGATTACAATTTATGTAAGATTATGTACAGGGTATCGTAACTATATGGATCAATAATCGTTGTCTGGGGAATTCAAGTGAATTATTTTCACAAAAGTCATCAATTGTTTGTTCGATCACTTCTTCAAGTTCAATTTTGGATGAAAATAGTTCAATCGTACAGGTAATACGGATAGTTTATTCAAATTTCGAAGAATTTTACTACTGGATCTCCGTTCAGACCAATATGAGAAATGGATTAAACTTCATCCGTGATAAATCTATTCTTATCTCCTTTTTTCGTCTTCTATATAAAAATAAATACCTGAAGAACATGTTCGTCTAATATTTTTGAGTAAATATACCAAGAGAAAAACAAGAGTGAAATTATCTCTAACAATACCACATTTTTCAAATTCTCTATATCGATAGATATTGATATAGTATGAATCATTCATGGCATCCGTATATTCAATTGACTTTTATATCTTTCTCTTGAATAAAAAGTTAAAATATTTGTTGTACTGTATTTGTTTGTATCACTTTTCATAATTGAAAATTTCTTATGCGTACGATATACATCACTAACTCCTTCAATTTTGCATGTAATCTCGCAGATGCGATACAAAATATGAGAGATTTTATCCGTTCTCTTTCATCATATTAGAAGATAAATATCGTTCCATTTTCATTTTTAGTTAAATCATTCTATCTTACGTGATTCTTCTTACAACAACAATTACTTGTTTTTCTACAGTCATAGTGATCATATAAGAAACTGTTGAGATTGAATGGAGTAATAGAAAATATGTTTATGATTTTAGATGGTTTATGTCACATCATCAATTATTGTTTTCTTTCCATTACACAGCACATTTTAAAAAAATGATAAGTTGATATGTTCCTGAATGAAGCGTTACAATTTTCTTTTTTAGCGAACAATCAGTATCAGTGTTCTGATTGTATGTATTTGACAGAATAGAAATTTGAATGGTTAAAATATTTAAAACAGCATTATCAAGAAATATTTGATAAATTAGTTCAAGAACATTTACACATTATAAATATACATCGAATTCGACTGTTAACTGTGTATCAGAGAATTAAATATATGATATAAGTCCCATTGTATCAAAGTAATACTTTATATAAAACTTTCAAAGAACTTTTCTTTTGAGAATACATTGATTTCATATTACAGGGAAATAATGAGAATGATTATGGTCATCAAATGATACCATTAATGACCAATCCTTCATTTAATGTAATCAATAAATTGAATGTCTATTTCCATCCAATATTGTAGCAACACCTTCATTTGAAAACCATTCATTAACAAGTCAATCATCTGCTGCAACAACAACAGATTTATTTTATGATAGTGGTTCTGACCTTATTCAACCTTATGTGACTCAACAGACTAATTCAACAATTCATCAACAAAATCCTCCTTTTGTTAATGAATACGAAGGATATCAAAACAATATGTTGAACCAACATAACTTGACTCCTTATTATTTTGAAGTACATATCATTATTATTCATCAATAGTGAAAGACCTGACACTATTAGACTGTTTCTCTTGTCTACGTACCCAATTCCGTATGAAACAGAAAAGTAAATTATTTCCATAAAACGTGACTATTTTTATCCTGACTATGACGTATGTTCTCGACTGTCTATTGTTATTAACAATACAAATATTTTCATCTTTCTTTCTCCTGACAATTTCCACTTGAGTTTTGAAATATCCATTTGCTTAAAGAAATAAAATAACTGAAAAAGAAGTAGTAATCATCAATCATACTAAGTTTATCTCTAATTTCATTTCTAATTGATTTTATTTGCATTTTATAGGAATAGAACCAACACAGTAAACCTATTCTACTAATGAGTATGATAAAACAATTAATGTTTTAGTACGAAACGGGATTTGTGACTAAAGTAAAGTCAATTGTTAATAAACATGACATAAGCTCTTATTAATTTCGTTGAATGTTCTTTTTTTTATTTGAAATAAAACGTTTCTTCTACATATAAATTCGATATTTATTCACTCAATCGCGAAATTGCAATTTTGAAACCTTCTTATTCAGTCAATATCTTTGTAGGACAAACTTATTTTTTGTGTCACATGTAATTGAACTGATAAAACATGTATTCATTACAATTTCTTTAGACAATGAATATTAACACAACATTTTCTAAAACTATACTGATCCATCTATATAAAGTGAAATAAACTATAAATTGAATAGAAGGGATTCATCAAAAAAGAAATATCGGAATATTTTTTCAAATATTTGCATAGTTCCTCCCTATAATGATTATCTTAATAATACGAAAGTTTTTGATCAAAATCTACTCAATTTCCACAAATTCGTTCTCTCTTGACAAGTGTATATTCATATATTACTGACTATTAAACATATAAATTTAATTTCTTCCTATCATATTAACACTTGTCATACCTGAAAGGAATACAAACCGTCTCGTTTTTGTATTATAATAGATTAACTATTATTTTCTACTTCAGACAGTAAAAGTTGTATAAATATCAACCAGAGAATTACTAAGAACTTTGTTTAACGCCTACGACGTACTTTTTTTTTATTTGTTGCGACATGTGCCGGAGGTTCTTATCAAATTAAAATTTTCAAGTATCTTCGGATATTCTCATTATCTTATTCTTAACTGACAGATGACGGAGGATATTTAAACCAATTGTCTTCTTTCTTTGTAAATATTTCTTGGTATTTTATCACGAAGTAATAGTGAACCTATTCTTCATTAGAGATCTACGCTGATTTCTTATAAACAATGTCGAAATACTTTGGTTTATATTTGTTTCTATTTGTGATGATTTGTCTCAATTTAATTATTTCAATTTCTGCTCGAACAATCATTGTTGATAAACAAAATCCAAAACAATTTAATACAGCTTTGTCCGAACATTTGGATTTTATTCCTGATTATTTCGTCGTCCACCCTCAATCAGACGTTGATGCTGAAAATGAAGATAATGATGATCATGATGTAGACAATTATGAAAAACGAAGTTTGAGAATGAAATTGGCCAATATATTTGCAAGATCTGAACCAAAATATACTATTGCATTTCCTTCCCTCTTACGTTCACGTCGATCGACTATCAAGAAGAACAATATCTAAGCATAACAAAGTTCGTTTGTTAAGAATTCTTTCCGTTCTCTTTCCAAATAAATAAGATACAAATTGATAAAATTAATCGATTTAAATTGTGTTGTCTCGAAAAATTGTCTCACTTCCATTCTCATTCAGAACATCTTGAACAGACAAAATTTATCACCAACGCCTCAACGTTTTTCATCATTCAAAGTACAAGTGTCGTTGGATGAAGGTTATCAATGAAGTAAACTATCGATTTATCTAGAAATCCTTGAAATGAGACGTGAGAGTGTCCAACAATGGGAAGTTTTCACTGAAATCAAACATATTATGGCTAATCGTGCTTATACAATGAGACACGCTCGAAAATCTTGTCTGTTTGATTCATCATATTTGATTTTTTATTAATGTTTTTATTTCTGCTTCAAAAAAATCCTTACAATCGATTCGAAAATAGATTCAGTAGAAGAAAAACCAACGCATAATTTGGTTGATAGACCATTTCTCTCATATACACATCCAATTTTATTTAGAGTACTTCATCTTTAGTTGTCTTTTTATCTTTTGACACCCGACGGAAATTTTTTGAAATAAATTGAGTCTCGTATTTTCTCTTTCTCTCTCTCTGTCTTCCCTCACATTTATATTCCTTCTTTTTCTCCAATGTTCATTAGCATTTGATTCATTTCATACATCACACCTATCTCAATACTTAAAATGTTCACAAAAATTGGTTCATCTTTAGTGTTACTCACGATCGCATGTCTCGCTTTGTTCAATTTCATTTCTGCAATACCAACAAATGTAGAAGAACAAGATGACAAACAATCTGTCGGAACTTTACTCGAACGATTTGGTATTGATCATGATTATCTTGCCGGAAATCATCGAAATAATAATGATGATGATCACGAAAATCATGCTGTTATGCTAAAACGAAGAGCTATGAAGAGAAAATGGGCCAAATTCTTCCAAGGATCTGAATCACCATATGCTATTGCATTTCCTGCTTTAATTCGTTCACGTCGATAAATTAAACAAGAACAGTAGTCATGCTTATGTAGAGACATCGAGATTCAGCATTTCTGTTCTTCTTTTTCTGCTTATTACAAATAAATAAATGAAATATTTATCATTGTATCTTATATTTTCTCATAAATTGACTAAAGCAGTTTGATAGTCAATGAAATTTGTTCAATAAATGAATTGTTGGTATAGATTACAGAGAGAACAACAAGTTCAAAGAATATATCTAAAATAAAACACGAAAAGCATACGACCGAGTCCACAACGCCCACATTGACAAAATTCTATTTCTTCCTGTTCTAATTGAAAAAAAATGAAAATTAAAATATGATTACTAGATTTTTTTAGTTTACTCAATCATTTGACAGACGACGGAAATACTCAAAATCTACTTTCATTCATCTTTTGGATTCTTTTTTTCTATCTCTTCACATTTCTTATTGTTCAACATAGTATTTAAAGCAACTGATAGTATATGTGCAAACGCATTCTCACCCCAACGTATACTGAACTCATGTATAAACAAACTGGATTATATTTGACAATTTTAATAGTGATATTCTTTTACTTAGTCAATTCATTTTCCGCAATACCGGTAAATATGGTAAAACATGATCAAAAGCGATCATTTGCCCTGTTTTTTCGAAAATTGGGTATAGGTTCTGATTATCTTTTATCAAATTCACCAGTGAACGGTTATTACAATAAAGAAAATGTAATATCGTTTAATAGAGATGGAAAACAGAAGAAACGGGCAAGATTCTTTCAACAATCTCATTCACCTTATTCGATTGCATTTCCAGCACTAATTCGTTCACGTTAACTTATTGAACTTCAAAATAATTGTATCATTTTCAAACAGATAAATCAAATATTTATCTCTTTTCTTTTTCGAATCATCAATAAAATAAATGTATTTAACCATCGGCTAAAAATATTTTCTCATATCACATTGAGACTATACAAATCTCAATCAAAACTTACTCATAACGTTAAGTCAGTAAATTTTCCTTTGCAGTTCCTTGACGATACTATGCAAAAAATCCTATTTTTGTCTTATTGGTTCTGAATTCTTTAAATAGACACTTAGACATTATTGTCATTCATACATTAGGCAAATTTCATGGGTTATAGATCTGTTTTTTTCTTGCATAGAATCATAGAGTACTCTATAAATCTTCTTTTATTGAGTCGCATTATGTGCACCACCTGTACGTCAAGAGAAGAGAAAAGATGAATATCTTTCTGTCGCATACATTCACAAAAATAGAACAAATAGAGAATAGAGACACCGAAAAAAAACAAAAATCGATTCATCTCAACACAGAACGAAAGAATCGTAATACAAAAACAACTGTCTACATGCAATAATCGCTCTTTTATGTATACCTTTTATTATACGATATAACAACGTATTTCATTCTTGATTATTCATCATTTGCATAAAACGATTCTTAACTTTGATGGATAATCCTCCTCCTGATCGTCAAATCCATGATATTCCATATCCTCGTGCAACTTTGTTATCTGAACAGGAACTTTTTGATTCATCTTCTGGTTTGCCATCCATTAGTCGACTCACAAAACATTTACAACAAGAAGGTCATTTGGATGAAAGATGTGCGCTACGCTTGGTGGAAATGGCACGAGCCGTGTTCGAACGCGAACCAAACATTCTCACAGTCAAACGACCAGTCACCATCGTTGCTGATATTCATGGACAATTCTATGATCTATTAACAATTCTCGCCGCTGGTGGGGATCCAACGAAAACTCGTTATTTATTTTTAGGTGATTATGTCGATCGAGGTCAGTTCGAATGTGAATGTGTGTTTCTTCTCTTCGCTCTCAAGATCAAATATCCTCAAAATATCAATCTTCTTCGAGGAAATCACGAAACACGACAAATGACAAAAGCATTTCAGTTCAAACTCGAATGTGAAAAGAAATATGAATCGAAAACACTCTATAATGCATGTATGCATGCGTTCGATGCTTTACCTATTTGTGCACTGGTTGACTCACGTTTTCTATGTATGCATGGTGGAATCTCACCAGACATTCACACATTGGCAGATATCGAAAATCTTGATCGATTCAAAGAAACGCCTAATTCAGGACCACTGTGTGACTTGTTATGGTGTGATCCAAGTGAGACATTTGATAATGTCGACGCACAGGAAGAAAACTTCAAGCCGAACAATGTTCGTGGTTGTTCATACTTCTTTTCATACTATGCATGTCGTGATTTCTTACTTCGCAATAATCTGCTGTCAATCATTCGTGGACACGAAGTGCAGAAGAATGGTGTTCGTCTTTTTCATAAGTCGTCTCGAACAAACTTTCCGGTTCTGATTTCGTTGTTCTCTGCACCAAACTATTGTGATACGTACAATAATGTTGCAGCGATATTGAAAATCAGTGAAAATCAACATTTATCAGTTGTACACATCGAAGCACATGGTCATCCTTTTGTTTTACCCAACTACGAAAACGGTAAATTTACTAAATGATCATCCAATCATTGTCATGTGATATTTTTAGGTTTTGAATTCGGTGAACGTTTTCTGGTGTATTACATGACACAGCTTCTGTTGTCAATATTTAACATGTACACGCCGGATGAACTGGCTGCTGATGATGGTCGTCGTGACAAAACAGCTGTAGAGCTGTTGAACAAGAAGCGATTGATTGAAGCAATGGAACAAGCGTATGGTCAAGTGAAGAAAACCAATAAGATCGCACTGAACTTACGAGGTCTAACACCGTCGTACAAAGCCTATAAAGAATTACTCGCTCGACCGGATATTCAAGCGTTAGTACATGAAGCTGAGAAAGGTCGAATCAAAGACTATGATCAAGCTCTCCAATTGGATCAAATATTTGAACGACGCCCATCTACTTAGTGAACAAAATACTCATTTATCTTCGTCAATATTTCAGCAATAAAATAGAAATTGATGTTTACTCTCATTTTTTTGATTTATTAAAAACGATCCAGTTCTTCGATCATATTGAATATCATCGTCCATAGAAGTTATTAAATCGAGTTGGACCAGAGATAGAAAATGCATCTGGAGTAGCTCCAGTTTCTCAGCAGCGAAATAGCGTACAAGAATTCTGGCTCACACATTTTTCTGTATTTTGCCAGCCAAGTAATAGAAACACCCGATGATACGGTCTTCGAAGGAAATATACGTCATCAAACATGATGTCAATAGAAAAACACCGATAAAATGGTATCTTTGGAACGAAATTGTTTTGTTTTGTTAACAGAGCAAATAAATAATGTTCTCAAAAACATTTAGAGTAATATGTAGTCTCGCCTGATATGTCCGTTCTCGAAGCAACATCAGTTTACGTTAGTAGCTAACACGTATGTCTCGCATAAATCGTGTGTACGATTCCTTCTTGTGCCATTAGAAGAAATTTGGATATTAAGACAATTATCAATAGGTCTTATTTATATTCGTCTTTAAAATAAGTTTCAGGAGCTGTGCACCCACTTCAAACAGTCTTTGTCTTAGCATTATAGTAGCTCGACATAACAATACCGAAGAAACACGTTATCGGATACTTTCATATTCGCTTCCCTTTTCACTCATTTTTATCACCTACACAAAAAATCATGGGTATTTTTCTGTTTTTTTTTACCAAGATCAAAATAGTAAACAACAAAACCAATTTATTTATCGACACCGAACGAAACAATCTTCGTAGACATGGGACTAAGCATATACCTTAGTCATTGTTTTACGTTTTTTTATAGTATCACAGTCAATGCATCGATAGGTTATGAGTACTTTATTACTCACTATTTTCGATATTTTCCACTGATTAAATCATCAATGGATAATCCTCCTCCTGATCGTCAAATCCATGATATTCCATATCCTCGTGCAACTTTGTTAACTGAACAGGAACTTTTTGATTCATCTTCTGGTTTGCCATCCATTAGTCGACTCACAAAACATTTACAACAAGAAGGTCATTTGGATGAAAGATGTGCGCTACGCTTGGTGGAAATGGCACGAGCCGTGTTCGAACGCGAACCAAACATTCTCACAGTCAAACGACCAGTCACCATCGTTGCTGATATTCATGGACAATTCTATGATTTATTAACAATCCTCGCCGCTGGTGGGGATCCAACGAAAACTCGTTATTTATTCTTAGGTGATTATGTCGATCGAGGTCAGTTCGAATGTGAATGTGTGTTTCTTCCCTTCGCTCTCAAGATCAAATATCCTCAAATATCAATCTTCTTCGCGGAAATCACGAAACACGACAAATAACAAAGGCATTTCAGTTCAAACTCGAATGTGAAAAGAAATATGAATTGAAAACACTCTATAATGCATGTGTGCATGGTGGAATCTCACCAGACATTCATACATTGGCAGATATTGAAAATCAACATTTATCAGTTGTACACGCCGGATGAACTGGCTGCTGGTGATAGCCGGCGTGACAAAACAGCTATAGAGCTGCCGTATGGTCAAGTGACGAAAACCAATAGGATTGCCCTAAACTTACGAGGTCTAACACAATTGTACAAAGCCTATAAATAATTACTCGCTCACCTTGATGTTCAATCATTGAATAATGAAGTTGAGAAAAGTCGGATCAAAGGCTATGATGAAGCTCTCCAATTGGATCAAATCTACGAGCGACAACCATCGGCATAATTGCATCAAAACGTTCAGACATCGGTTTACAATAGTTTAGGAATAAATCTGAAAAAGAAAAGAAAATTCAATCTATTTTTTTGTTTATCTTTAGATAATAATAATCTAATTCTGATTGTTCAACTGCACTTGGTGCTTGAGACATAAGATCTTTTCCTAGACTTGTTTTCGGAAATGCGATCACATCTCGAATATGTTCAGTTTCTAAAACTAATGCAAGTAAACGATCTAATCCCAAAGCGATTCCACCATGAGGTGGTGCACCATATTCCAAAGCTTCTAGAAGATGTTCTAAATGTTCAACAGGTAGATGAAGAACATCATTGAGAATGAAACGTTGTAGTTTCGAATTGTGAATTCGAATTGAACCACCACCGACTTCAAAACCATTCAAAACAAGGTCATAATGTTGACCAGTAATGCGTGACCAATCTTTTTTGGATGATAACAACGATAAATGCTCATCAACAGGTGCAGTAAATGGATGATGAGTTGATTCGAATTTCGTACGATCTTCTGTCATCGGTGTAAATAAAGGGAAATCAGTAATCCAAACAAAATTCCATTGACGTTTTTGTCGTAATTTTATATCATATTGGCTTTCTAGTAAATCAGCTAATTTCAAACGAAAATTTCCCATTTTAATTAAATCGTCTTCTTCATTGTTGCTTTTATTCACCGAAAATTGTCGAGTCTTTTCGTCATATTGAATATTATCAGTCAAGAAATCTTGCAAATTATTTAACGAAATGGGACTAGTGATCGAAACTTTATCCGATGAATGTTCAATTTCTAATGCAAAACGTGTATCTGGTTTGTCTGTTCCATACCGTGACATACATTCTGCGTAGGTTAAACGAGGAAATGGAATGTTGCCGAGTCGATCAGGCCAACTGTGTGCCAGAAGTTCTTCAATTAATGAAAAGATATTTTCACGAGAAACAAAACTTAGTTCTAAATCGATTTGAGTGAATTCAGGTTGACGATCTCGACGTCCTAAATATCAGTTAAAAAAAGAAAATTATCTACGACAAGAAAAAATCTTACCTGATTCATCTCGAAAGCATTTGGCGATTTGAAAGTATCGATCGAAGCCTCCCATCATTAACAATTGTTTAAACTGCTGTGGGCTTTGTGTTAAAGCATAAAATAATCCTCCATGTTCTAAATGCGTCGGAACTAAAAATTCCCGTGCACCACCAGGTGTGCGGCGAAATAACGATGGAGTTTCAATGTCAACAAAGGAGTGTTTTAACAAAAAATCTCGAACTTTCGCAATGAATGACGAACGAAAACGAATCCGTTCTTGCATGATATCACGACGAAAGTCTAAATAGCGATAAATTAAACGTGCTTTTTCATCGGACTCATGATATTTTGATAAATCAATGGGTAATTGTGGTAAACAAGAATTTATCACTTGGAAATCAGTGACATGTACCTAAAATCGATTTTTTTTTGTTTCAGTTCTGTTCAAAAATAGTCTCACATACTTCGATGTGACCTAATGATACATCGGAATTGATATCTTTGTCCGGACGTTTCTTCAATATTCCTTTGATATGTACACAAGATTCAACAGGTGTTTGTTTTAATGTTTGTCGTTCTTGTTTCATTGTTGATGGAAGAATAAATTGTATCGAACCCGAATGATCACGAAGAACACCGAAAGAATTCAAACGGCGATATTGTAACCAACCATGAAGAGATACCGGTGTATCTACGAGATTTGCGTTCGATAAGTCAGATACTAATTGTTGTCGATAGGAAAATTTCGTTGAAAATGATGACGAAAATCGACATTGACGTAGAGTAGAAGGAAAGCGTTTAACAAGATTAGAAAACATGCTTGAACATTTGGAATATTTCATTCATTCCGAAGAGAGATACTTTATCAACGAAACGTTCCTATTGGATGTTTCACTCGCCAATAGGGTTGTTGACACTATGAGTAATTTCTAGTTCATTTAAAAAAAGAATTTTATTTATTTTTCTTTAGTTGAAATGAATAAGAAAAAGACTTAATCGAGATATTAGTCAGCATGAGAAAATGTTTATTTTCATTGGTTCAACAAATGAATGTCGAAAAAAGATTTAATCTGCTCTGTTATTTGTCTCTATCGTTTGGTTGAAGCAACAAAGAAGATTTTTCTCTTTTACTCTTTCAGATTGTTCTTCGTCGTCTCTTTTTTCAACGTGAAATAACCAGAACAAGATGTCAGTTGTACAAAGGAAGTGTGGAAAATGTGAAAAAACTGTGTATCCAGCCGAAGAAATCAAGTGTCTTGATAAAGTAAATCTCTTATTTCGTCGTTTTCTTCTCCTCTTGACATTCTTTAGTTTTGACAGAATAGTCAATAAGGTAACTTTTGCGTTTTTATCTTTCGTGTTACGCAAAAACGCATGACGTTTCTCCCCTTTGAAAATCCAAAAACATTTTCTTTAAGTTCGATTCTCAACCATTCATTTCGTCTTTTTAGTTTTGGCATAAAGGATGTTTAAAATGTACAGTATGTGGGATGACCCTTAATGTGAAAAATGTTAAAGGATATGATAAAATGCCTTATTGTAATGTGTAAGTATTCGAAAGATGTTCTAATTACGACAATAAACAATGCCTTTTTTTTAGACATTATCCTCAACCTAAACCAACTGTTGTCGTTGATAATCCCGAAATGCAACGCATTCGTGCACTGACAGACATTCAAAGCAATGTATGAGAGATTCATAAGAGAGTTAGAGGAATGTTTTGGTTGTGTTTAGGCGAAATATCATGAAGATTTCAATAAGAGTAAAGGAAAATTTACAGCCATAGCAGATAATCCCGAACTAACACGAGCGAAAGAACATCAACGGATTGTTAGTCAAGCGGAATACACAGGCAAACGAAAAGATAGCACATCGCAAATACTCGCACCAGGTTTGCTTCTTGTCGAATTTATTTTATTGAACAAAACCTGATTTCTTTTCAAGATCAACCACAACAATCGCATACGATCAATATGAATACTCGAACTTATAATCAATCTGAACCAGCAGTAGGGCGTGGTAAGTTGATTTATCAATAATATGGATGATTGTTTTATGGAAAATTTTGTAGTGGCCGATTATGATCCGATAAACGATGATCGTGGTTCATTGGCACGCGGTTACGAACCAACTTCAAAAGCAATGCATGCAGCTAGTAAGACAAATCGATTTAAATCAAAGAGAATTGTTTTTCATGGTTTTTCATTCAGAATATGAAAACAATCATCGAGATGTTCTTCATATGAATACTAAATCTGACAACGAATCAAATGGAAATAAAAATTCTTATAATCAATACGAACATGAACAGCAAATTCCAACGAACAACAGCAACAACAACAATAATAATAATAATCAATTTTCACACGGTGATGGACGATCAGCACAAGTGAGTTGGTTTTTCTTGACAATAAATTCAGCTATTAAAATTGATTTTTAGACGAAAGTTCGTGCACTTTATTCTTACACAGCAGCCGAATCGGATGAAATCAGCTTCAATGAAGGTGATACACTTATTGAATGTGAACAAATTGATGATGGTTGGATGTTGGGTCGAAATCCCAAGACAGGTCAACAAGGTTTGCTCCCATCAAACTATGTGGAAATTATTCAATGAGAATGAACAGATTTTTCTTTTCTTTTTTGTTTTCATTTATATTTGGGAATTTGATTTCTTTCTCATAGAGATTAATTACCTGTAAATAATATCATTTTTCTTTCTATTCTTTTCATTCCACTACCAATCACGTACAAATCCTTTTATCTTAATTTCGCGTTCATTCTCTCTTCTGCTTTCTATTTTGCCATGTGTGTGCGTTGTTACAGTTTCCAAAGAACTCTTCAAGACAAACATTTTTTCAAATAAATCTTCGAATCACAGAATGTTTTTCGCATTGAAATTGAAAATCAAAGGCAAAAGCCGAGTATTCATTTGTTTTAGTCGAGATGAGAATTGAATTTCTTCATTATTCTACATCAGTCAAATATATACACAAATTTTAAAAGCTACGTTTCTTGGATAGAGCATTTCGTAAAAATCTACTTGAAGAATTTATTTTTCAAATTAACAATTCGAACGATCAGATTGTCGAAAACGCCACAACACAACGTTTGCTTCAGAAAAAATGACTTGAATATCAATTAAAATGCTTTTTTCAAATGAGATAAGACAAATGTCAAGAACTCCCCAAACCTCCCTCTATTTTCAGTTCTTTTTTACGAAGATTTATTTATTTGCTGATAAACAATTAAATCTTCGAAACTAAACGAATAGAAAAAGTAAAAAAATTCATCGGTTTCTGTTGATGAATCTGGCACTTAGTTCTTGATTGCCCAATTTCACTCGCCACATACAGTAGCCCAGGTGGACAAATCCCATACTCGGATCCTATATCGGTTTCTGTCGGATCTTATCGGAATCCGACAATCCGATAGGATTCCTGGTGACGGAATTGCTTCGGATTCCGACGGTTACGGATCCCATGTCGGATCCAACGTCGGATTTGTTGACCTGGAAGGACGCAACTATAAATGTTGTACCCAATACAATTTCAATAATCTACAATAAATATACGAAAATATGCGACGTACGCCGAGAACAAACAAAGATGAAATATTGAACAAATCTGCGAAAATCAAATTTGTTGTTCCCATACTAATCCAAATGATACCAACTGTGAAACGTAATTTCTGCTCTTCACCAAGAATGACTTCATATTCCCGATGGATCGATCCTGATTGCGAAGTAATAAGTACGTCCGCATTCCAATCCAAGCCATATAAATAAGAAATGTTGTGCAACAACAAATAACTTTAATTTTATTCGAATATATATTTATTCTCCCATTTATTAAAAGATCTCCGGCAATTACATTAACCATCGCAATCTGTAAAAGCAAGAAAAAAAACGAATCATTATTTTAAACATGCGATCATATCGTCACCAATTCAATCAACTTGATCAATGCTTCTGTACGAAAGGCGTTCTGTGGATTTTTGATAACGAAATTTCTCAAAACTTTCTTTACGTTTGGTCCTCCTAACGCACCGAACTCAGGAATGGTGACCCAAATATCAGGTAAATTTTCCTCTAATGTTGTTGAACGATCTTCGCAACTTTGTTCCGATAGAGGTTCTAAATCAACATACAAAAATAAGACGTTCAACGATACTAATTTGTACGATTAATGATTTCGCTTCAAATTCAATACCTAAGGGACATTGTTCATCATCATCTGATGGACGTTCAGGGCCAACTAATCTTTAAACAGTTGATGGTTCAATCGATGTTGCACTAAAACCTAAATCAACGGCAAACATCGTTATCAACAAAAATCTTGATTATTTGAGATTGGAATCAAGACCTTGACGTGCGGACATTTCGATAGGTGAGACAAATTGAAAGTGAAAATAAATAAATAAATAAATCAAAGAGGATCCACTCGTATGTACAGTTGGTAATCATAGGACAGTGTTTCGTTCATTCTGTATTCCACAAAAAATAGAAGCATATGACGTTCGAATCGATATTCGTGTGTGTATGATATAGCACAATTCGATTTGTTATTCGGTTAGTAAGATACTTATTGGCATTTTCAAGGGACAAAAGGCAGAAGGTTAAAAATAAAGTATTTTAAATAATACTTGACGTCAACAAAGTCTCTCTCTCTCCTGTTGAGTATTTTCGACATGTGTGATATTTCACAGCAATTAAAATCAATCCTTAATAAGTTGATATACTATGGACGTCGGACTGTACAGCTGAGTGAGAGTGGAATTTTTACAACAGAGGAATGTGGATCGTCATATGTGCAAGTGTTTGAATCACGAGGAAAAGGTTTTTTGTTTCCGAGAAGTTTCTAATGAAGCAACTGATTTTTATTCCCTTTTCTGAAAGAAAGGGTTATAGCGTTATAAATCAGGCCACTAAAATGCAATAAGTTTGTTTGTTTGCATAATTCAATCAGATTGCAGCATTTCATAAATCAATGAAAACTTAACCAGCCTCATTAGAAATTGACTGATGACAGGTCATCGGGGGTCGAGGATCACGAATCCGTGGATAGTTTTTCAAAAAAACTTTTTGCTTCGTTTTTTGGGGCAATGGATCACTTTTTTTGAGAAAAAATCCTTTCTTATAAGGGTCGACCGAAGGGTAATCGAGGTCGAGGATCACGAATCCGAGGTTAGTGTTGATTAATTAATTATTAGTTTTTCGTTAACTAGCCACGACTTATTAACATCCATTGTCAGAGTAGACCGAAGTGTTTCTGGCGTCAGGAAATTCGAAGTTGAGGGTGTATTTCGTCTTATTCGCTGGCCCTGGGCTTGTCCCTTTCTCTTTACAAAGGACATATTTTGTCTTCATCTATTCTGAAATCTTTTGTCGAAGATGGTGAGCTAAACGCTATTCAAGGGCGTCATGTGTACAAAGATAGTAGCTCAAGAACTTACACGAGAAGATCTAATGCATTGTACATAATGATGTTTCTAATTGAAGAAATCCGAAAAAGTTATATGAGCTTAGTATCATCTTTGCTTTGTAGCCTACATACATCATGTCCTTTCATGGGAATTTAGTAGAAGTAGTTCGCAAAGTGATATACCCGTCGGTGAAGTTCCATCTTAGTAACTACAGACGCGTGGACTGTAGAAACAGTATTCTGAACACATGCAGCGCTATGAAAGATGTTCGTTTCGAAGCAAATCATACAATAAGATTTTCTTATCTAGTTTCTTTTAGTGGTCGAATGAATAGGAGATCATGACTGTCGAAGCGACAATAAAAGAAAACCCAACCGTTCAGTTTAAAAGTTGAGCAAAGGCGAAAGGAATAACAGAGACAGCATAGCAACGGCTATAGCCGTGAGTGACTCAACGGAGGAAAGTTGACGAACGACTAGGCATTTAAATGCTAGATTAATCCTGAAGTGTACGCTTAGAATAAACTTGCCAGGCTTCAGATAATTTTGAAAGGAATTTGATGAATGGATATTCCTCAATGAAAATATTCGACAAGGTATCATTTCGTTGACAGGAGAGAACAGAATTGGTGAATCGCTGGAAGACACAGGCGAATGTTCAAACTTTTCAAGTAGCCTACTGTATATCGTCCGTCTATGAGTGACTTATTAAAGCATTTATGAAAATTTCCATGCGCGTGATGTGAAAATAGAAAAACAGAGGACAATGGTCAATGGTTGGCCGTGAGTGGCCATCTGACTAGCCGTTGAGCGATGAATTTTTCAGTCAATATAGTTAGTGCTGGAGAATATCCACTGACAAATGGCTAATCGGTCTGGTTCCTAAAAAGAGTTTTGCATCCTATTCATTCTAGTGTGACATAGTGCCATGATTCAGTTGAGCACTAGTAGCAATCGCAGTGCGTGTTTTCTCTTTCGAAGTCTTTGAATGTGTTCAGCATTCGGAAAAGTCTTTCAGAAAAGGCTCAGCGAATCCAAAGGATGAGCGTTACTTGTTTATAATTAGTACTACGTTTACGTGTGGTTTGCTATTGAATTACGGAAGTTTGAAAAGCTTGGTGCGTATGATTCGTGATCAGAGCATGAGCTGCCTTATATAACTTCTAATGCACATGAATACTGGAATGTTTTTGTTAACTTTAAGAATAGGTTAGAAAGATGAGAATTGAACCTTGAAAATGTATTAGAGCTGAATGCAGTTCTAATCTCGTACATGTATAGAATTATGTTTTCCTTCAGAAATCATTTTATACTTCGATTTGCGTTTAAAATCTGCATTTATATTCGACTGAAACTGGAGAAGCTGCTGATTCAGCTGAGAACTTCTGTTCGATGTGAAATTGAAAAGTTATTTAAGGAATAAATCAACGATTTTGTACGATGTTCGATTTTTGTTTGCCTATATGCATGAAGCTGTATAATCAAACCACAGTGTTCTGGCGGCTTTGGGCTCTATTCATGAGTTTTGAAAATCAAAATGTCGTTATTTTTCTTTTTCGTCGTATGCTGTCATCAGAGATTCATTTTGAGAGTAAGAATGTTTGTCTAGGAAGAAGAAGGAATGTTTTTTCCAAGTTTCATAAAACGTGAAGAAGCACATTACTTTTATCGTTCTCTACCAAACAACCATTTCTCACATCTTACAACAGCTACCTTATAAACAATCCAATCTCACAGCAACGGCAAATCAGAAACAAGGCAGTTTGGATATGTTCGAGCAGAGACTAGCCACCTTTCAGAAAGCAAATGAATTGAATCGTATAAAAATTGAAGAGACGCAAGATGTTTCTGTCATTTGGCTTGACACTCACATTCACAACAGTAATCCAGATTATCAAAATGCAATCACACATCTTCAACACATTGTCAATGATATTTATACATTCACTGATAATGATGAATGTATCGATTTTATTCTCACTCTCACCGACACAGACGTCTGTTTGATCACGTCAGGATCAGTTGGACAACGTCTTGTACCTTGTGTACATGATATTTCAAACATCGATTCGATCTTCATTTTCTGTGATGACCAAAATCGACACGAACAATGGGCCATAAACTGGTGCAAAGTGAAGAGTGTTTCCATTGATATTATACATATTTGTGAACAACTAACGAAAATCATTCGTCGATATGAACTCACTGCTATTCCTGTGAGTTTTGTACAATCCGGTAAACGATTAGATCGGCTAGAGCCATCATTTATGTACACAAAGATCATCAAAGAAATACTGTTAACAATTCAGTTTAATGATAAACACATCAAACAGTTCGTGAAGTATTGTTGTGATAATTTCGTTGATACCGAAGTCGATCGAAAGAAAGTGAAACAACTGAAAGACGAATATCATCAGTACACGCCTATTTGGTGGTATACAACACAAAGATTTTTATACGGTATGCTGAATCGTGCATTACGAGTGATGGACGGTGAAGTGATCACATTGATGGGCTTTTTCATCAGTGACCTTCATCGACATATCGAAGAATTGCACAAGTGGCAGTTTGGTAATGCATCATCTACTGCTAAATGCTTTCCGGTTTACCGTGGTCAAGGTTTAATGAAGAAAGATTTTGATCAACTGGTGGCAACGAAGGGTGGGCTGATGTCATTCAATAATTTCCTGTCTACCAGTGAAAATCGCAACGTTTCTCTTATTTTTACTGCAGGAAATCGAAAGAACAGTGATGTGATCAGTGTTCTATTTGTGATCACAATTGATCCAAAGCAATCAACAACGTCATTTGCCTCGGTTCGTCACATCAGTCAGTTTCCCGAAGAAGAAGAGGTACTATTTTCGATGCACAGTATCTTTCGCATAAGGGATGTTAAGCCCATGGATGGAAACGAGAAAGTGTACGAAGTGGCGTTGTCATTGACGAGTGACAATGACGAAGAATTGATGGTACTTACTGAACAGATTCGAAAAGAAAGCTTTCCAAATGCAGAGGGATGGTCACGACTGAGTCTAGTACTCGCTGCTATAGCACAGTCAGACATTGCTGAACGAATCTGTCGAGTTCTGATTGATGAAACGCCTTCTGAAGACTCTGCAATCGATGTCTATAATCACCTGGGTACGATTAAATACCAGAAAGGGCAATATGAGGAGGCAATAACACTTTTTCGAAAATCTCTTGAGCTTCGCTTGATGTCATCTTCTCCAAATCATCCACACGTGGCTTCATATTACAACAACATCGGTGCAGCGTATTCTCACATGGGTGATTATCCCAAGGCACTTTCATCATATAAACAAGCTCTCAAAATTCAACTACAATCACTTCCTCCCAATCATCCTCATGTGGCTTCATCCTACAACAACATCGGCAATGCGTATTCTCACATGGGTGATTATCCCAAGGCACTTTCATCATATGAACAAGCTCTCAAAATTCATATACTATCGCTTCCTCCCAATCATCCTCATGTGGCTGGATCCTACAACAACATCGGCAATGGGTATTCTCACATGGGTGATTATCCCAAGGCACTTTCATCATATGAACAAGCTCTCAAAATACGACAACAATCACTTCCTCCCAATCATCCAGATGTGGCTATATCCTACAACAACATCGGTAATGCCTATTCTCACATGGGTGATTATCCCAAGGCACTTTCATCATATGAACAAGCTCTCAAAATTCAACTACAATCACTTCCTCCCAATCATCCAGATGTGGCTTCGTCCTACAACAACATCGGTGCAGCGTATTCTGACATGGGTGATTATCCCAAGGCACTTTCATCATATGAACAAGCTCTCAAAATTCTACTACAATCACTTCCTCCCAATCATCCTCATGTGGCTGGATCCTACAACAACATCGGTAATGCCTATTCTGACATGGGTGATTATCCCAAGGCACTTTCATCATATGAACAAGCTCTCAAAATTCAACTACAATCACTTCCTCCCAATCATCCAGATGTGGCTTCATCCTACAACAACATCGGTGCAGCGTATTCTGACATGGGTGATTATCCCAAGGCACTTTCATCATATGAACAAGCTCTCAAAATTCAACTACAATCACTTCCTCCCAATCATCCTCATGTGGCTGGATCCTACAACAACATCGGTGCAGCGTATTCTCACATTGGTGATCAAAGGACTGCTGTATTGTTTTACACAAATGCGGTTCAAATCGCTCAAGAAGTGTTACCATCAACGCATCCTCACCTTCAAATGTTTAAAAGAAACTTGGAAAGAGTGAAACATAAATTATGAGTTTTGCATGCTGCTTTGGACGGAACCCTGTTTCGAGACGTTTTGGATTCTTGAATAAGCTTCGCCCGCTAAATTAGTTCTATAGTAATCGAAGGTATGTGAGTGGATCAGCGGGAAAGATATCAGGCGGGAGTGAAAAATTTGGAAAGTCCTTTTTAGAATTGTTTCGTATCGTGAAGGCCATTTTTCAGTTATATTTTCGATAGCTTCGTATACTTTGACAGAATGAAAGATAATTTTTTACTTCACAAAAGAAAATAAACATGTCAATATTCCCTTTTCCGAAAGAGAGGATTGTAGCCGCATTGAAATTGGTTGAAGTTTATTTGTTTGTCCAAGCCAATGAGATTGCAGAATTTCATAAATCAATGAAAAATTCACGATGTTCCTTACGAAGTTATTGTTGCAAAGTAATTAAGGTCGAGGATCTCGAATCTGCGTTTAGCTTCTGGAAATGCCAATTAGCTAATTAGGAAATGAAAAATTTCCTGGTCGTCGAGTAAGGGTTGACCTGAAGGGTAATCTGTTTCCAAGATTTGTAATCTGTTGTTAGTTTCTCAATAAAAAATCCTGTTCTGTTTTTTAGACAAAGGTCGATTTTTTGCAAGGAAGTTTTTTTAAGCGATAGTGTTTTAAGCAGCAATATGTAGAACTGAAATGAAATAGCTGGTTAAAATCCGATCGGATTGTTGGATATTCATACACATCAGTACATTGATAACATCACGATTATACAAATAGTTATAATACGCAAACCTTATCTGATGCTAACCACTCAAAGTAATACTTGCTCTGAGAAATGTTGTTTTGGACAGTCACAACGGCGCAAAGTTGGTGATTTTTCAGCACAGGGAATCGAAGGAAACGGTTTGATTCATTCTGAAGGTAGTTTTAAACTGGACGAAAGAATGAAAGTTGGACATTAACGGCTAGTGATGAGTGGCCGGCCGGAGGCAGACTGACGACCAACTAGGCATTTTATTTGAATTGCTTAGAGGAAGTAAAATAAGTGAAAATAAACTGAGTTTTTATTCAGAGTAGTGCGAAGAGAGTCGATGAATAAATTTTTATAAACGGTGTTCATTTTGTTTACGTCTTTAGACAAACGAATTGAAAATAATCTGACATGAATGAAGCAGAAAATGAAAGAATGAGCACAAAAGTGACTTCAATTCGAACCCAATTAGATTGAGATCGAAGTGAGACCGTTTATCTGCTAGTTTTCTGATACTTTCAGAAAAGGGTCAGCGAATCCAATGGATGAGCGCTACTTGTTAACACTTAATGATTAGAAGTTTTGTAGACGTATTTTGATTGTATTTACTCATAAACAAACTGTCTTTAAATGGAATCTGTTTTCTGATCCATATCGAGATAAAACAAATTTTTCGTGTTTATGAAATAAATGAATGAACAGTTTTCTTTCAGTATACTGTTCTGTTTGTTATTTTACTATTTTATTATTTGATATTGTATTGCCTTAATAAAATACACATGTATAACGGATGCTGAAATAGTTGAATCATTTGCATTTCATCACTTATAATAGTTCTTGCATCTCGTGTTTCTCTAACATATCGAAACTTGCATTGCGGTATTAAATCACAGATCGAATAAAACTATTTCAATGATATTAGAATGTGTTCAAACCATCAGCAAGATGGTTAACTTTAGTTAAAAACTAAAATATTTGAAATTCATAAGGAAGATTTTTAACTGATGTTAGAATGATACGTTCGGTATATGAACTTGGAGAATTGCAGATAGCTAGACTTAAAGATGAAAGAAAAATGAATGCGGAGACTTTCACGGGGAAGATTCTTGTCTTTTGATCTAAATAAAACAAGTCAACAGAAATTTTTCTGAATGAAACATATACATTGTCTTTTTTATTAGAAATTTTTTGTTTTTCGGTCAGATTATTTGCTGTTTCTCTTCTTGCTACATCCTATTCAAACTATCTGGTCTCACGTTTCTAACTTGAAAATAATTGTCGTTCTGGTTACATTCTCACTTTAATTGTGATAATATTACCAGTATCTTTTACTTCGTCACTTCTCCCTTTTCCACAAGCAGTACATTTTGCATACGTAGACAGTGAAGTAATTAGACCTGAGTAGACTCAGTTTCGTGGAAAAATTGAAATCAACATCTAGTTCACTGTTCGAAGTATATCATTTGCGATGTTCAGTCTACTCCTATATTGAAATCGGTCCACCGCCTATGAGTTTTAGATTATAATTAAGTCGATTCGAATATTTTATCAATGGTCTGCGAAGTTCAGCGCAAGTTCAGAAATGATGTGCATGAGAGATGTAAGTGTACGCTTTTACTAAATTTCGTGTCTTTTTCTTCTTTTTGGCGCAATGTTATATTTAGTGAGTAGCTCTCGTTTTTGAGTTTCGCGTGATTAGATCTACATATTCATCTGTTTTTCATAAATATATCACTGGTTTGTTAAATATGATTGCCACTTGCATCGAAAACGGATAATCGTATTTGTACAGAATCAAAGCATGTGATTGTTGCTCTCAAGATGTATTCTGTTTAGTAACATAACTTTATTTATGTAAATGTGCAAAAATTACGTTCTCAGTTATTATATGTATAATATTTATCTTAGTTGAACTAAATGTACATCCGTTTTGTCCGTTGGATTGTACGAAAGCAATTCTTTACGTAATCAAGTGAATGGCAACCAACATATTGCGCTCTCTGTTGATCATTCTTTTTCTTGTTTCTATTAGATTATTTGTTGTGCTGTCTTTGTTCTTTTGCAATGAATTGAATGAGTATCATCTCTCGGCTCAACAAAACAATGACTTCTGCCGAGGACTAATGTTATACATATAGAGAATATCTCATAAGGAATATGAAGAACACAACTGACTTGTTCAACATGTATACATTCTTAATTTATCATATTATTTACTTCTAAGTAGTTTCTGTGCTCTTTGTTGCTATCAATTCACCATAGACTTTCCTTTTTCAATGTAAACAGTATCATAAACACGATGACAAGGTAAAGCATTGTCTATCACGCCTTAGATTTTTTTTCTTTCAGTTTGCAAAAAGATATAGGTGATGTTTGATTAAGTTCAGCTCAAAAGTAAAATAACATTTAATTAGATAAGCTGCTATCAGACAGAAAGTCGTCAATTTTAAAATCTTTTTAGAACAACAACTATTCACACTACATACTANAAATGTTCAACAGGTAGATGAAGAACATCCTTGAGAATGAAACGTTGTAGTTTCGAATTGTGAATTCGAATTGAACCACCACCGACTTCAAAACCATTCAAAACAAGGTCATAATGTTGACCAGTAATGCGTGACCAATCTTTTTTGGATGATAACAACGATAAATGCTCATCAACAGGTGCAGTAAATGGATGATGAGTTGATTCGAATTTCGTACGATCGTCTGTCATCGGTGTAAATAAAGGGAAATCAGTGACCCAAACAAAATTCCATTGACGTTTTTGTCGTAATTTCATATCATATTGACTTTCCAGTATATCAGCTAATTTCAAACGAAAATCTCCCATTTTGATTAAATCATCTTCTTCATTGTTGCTTTTATTCATCGAAAATTGTCGAGTCTTTTCGTCATATTGAATATTACCAGTCAGGAAATCTTGCAAATTGTTTAACGAAAGGGGACTAGTGATCGAGAGTTTATCCGATGAATGTTCAATTTCTAATGCAAAACGTGTATCTGGTTTGTCTGTTCCATACCGTGACATACATTCTGCGTAAGTTAAACGAGGAAATGGAATGTTATCGAGTCGATCAGGCCAACTGTGTGCCAGAAGTTCTTCAATTAATGAAAAGATATTTTCACGAGAAACAAAACTTAATTCTAAATCGATTTGGGTGAATTCAGGTTGACGATCTCGACGTCCTAAAGATCAATTTAAAAAAAGAATTATCTACGACAAGAAAAAATCTTACCTGATTCATCTCGAAAGCATTTGGCGATTTGAAAGTATCGATCGAAACCTCCCATCATTAACAATTGTTTAAACTGCTGTGGGCTTTGTGTCAAAGCATAAAATAATCCTCCATGTTCTAAATGCGTCGGAACTAAAAATTCTCGTGCACCACCAGGTGTGCGTCGAAATAACGATGGAGTTTCAATGTCAACAAAGGAGTGTTTTAACAAAAAATCTCGAACTTTCGCAATGAATGACGAACGAAAACGAATCCGTTCTTGCATGACATCACGACGAAAGTCTAAATAACGATAAATTAAACGTGCTTTTTCATCAGACTCGTGATATTTTGACAAATCAATGGGCAATTGTGGTAAACAAGAATTAATCACTTGAAAATCAGTGACATGTACCTAAAATCGATTTTGTTTTGTTTCACTTTCGTTCGAAAATAGTCTCACATACTTCGATGTGACCTAATGATACATCAGAATTGATATCTTCGTCCGGACGTTTCTTCAATATTCCTTTGATATGTACACAAGATTCAACAGGTGTTTGTTTTAATGTTTGTCGTTCTTGTTTCATTGTTGGCGGAAGTATAAATTGTATCGAACCCGAATGGTCACGAAGCACACCGAAAGAATTCAAACGGCGATATTGTAACCAACCATGAAGAGATACCGGTGTATCTACGAGATTTGCGTTCGATAAATCAGATACCAATTGTTGTCGATAGGAAAATTTCGTTGAAAATGATGACGAGAATCGACATTGGCGTAGAGTAGAAGAAAAGCGTTTGACAATATTAGAAAACATGTTTGAACGTTTGGAACATTTCATTCATTCCGAAGAAGATATTTTATCAACGAAACGTTCCTATTGGATGTTTCATTCGCCAATAGGGTTGTTGACACTATGAGTAATTTCTAGTTCATTTAAAAAAAGAATTTTTATTTATTTTTCTTTAGTTGAAATGAATAAGAAAAAGACTTAATCGAGATATTAGTCAGTATGAGAAAAGATTTATTTTCATTGGTTCAACAAATGAATGTCGAAAAAAAGATTTAATCTGCTCTGTTATTTGTCTCTATCGTTTGGTTGAAGCAACAAAGAAGATTTTTCTCTTTTACTCTTTCAGATTCTACTTTGCCGTCTTCTTTTTCAACGTGAAATAACCAGAACAAGATGTCAGTTGTACAAAGGAAGTGTGGAAAATGTGAAAAAACTGTGTATCCAGCCGAAGAAATCAAGTGTCTTGATAAAGTAATTCTCGTATTTCGTCGTTTTCTTCTCCTCTTGACATTCTTTAGTTTTGACAGAATAGTCAATAAGGTAACTTTTGCGTTTTTATCTTTCGTGTTACGCAAAAACGCATGACGTTTCTTCCCTTTGAAAATCCAAGAACATTTTCTTTAAGTTCGATTCTCAACCATTCATTTCGTCTTTTAGTTTTGGCATAAAGGATGTTTAAAATGTACAGTATGTGGGATGACCCTTAATGTGAAAAATGTCAAAGGATATGATAAAATGCCTTATTGTAATGTGTAAGTATTCGAAAGATGTTCTAATTACAACAATAGACAATGCCTTTTTTTAGACATTATCCTCAACCTAAACCAACTGTTGTCGTTGATAATCCCGAAATGCAACGTATTCGTGCACTGACAGACATTCAAAGCAATGTATGAGAGATTCATAAGAGAGTTAGAGGAATTTTTTGGTTGTGTTTAGGCGAAATATCATGAAGATTTCAATAAGAGTAAAGGAAAATTTACAGCCATAGCGGATAATCCCGAACTAACACGAGCGAAAGAACATCAACGGATTGTTAGTCAAGCGGAATACACAGGCAAACGAAAAGATAGCACATCACAACTACTCGCATCAGGTTTGTTTGTTGTCGAATTTGTTTTATTGAACAAAACCTGATTTCTTTTCAAGATCAACCACAACAATCGCATACGATCAATATGAATACTCGAACTTATAATCAATCTGAACCAGCAGTAGGGCGTGGTAAGTTGATTTGCCAATACAGATGATTGTTTTATGGAGAATTTTGTAGTGGCCGATTATGATCCGATAAACGATGATCGTGGTTCATTGGCACGCGGTTACGAACCAACTTCAAAAGCAATGCATGCAGCTAGTAAGACAAATCGATTTAAATCAAAAAGAATTTTTTTCATGGTTTTTCATTCAGAATATGAAATCAATCATCGAGATGTTATTCATATGAATACTAAATCTGACAACGAATCAAATGGAAATAAACATTCTTATAATCAATACGAACATGAACAGCAAAATCCATCGAACAACAATAATAATAACAATAATAATAACCAATTTTCACATGGTGATGGACGATCAGCACAAGTGAGTTGTTTTCTTCTCTTGACAATAAATTCTACTATTAAAATTGAATTTTAGACGAAGGTTCGTGCACTTTATTCTTACACAGCAGCCGAATCTGATGAAATCAGCTTTAATGAAGGTGATACACTTATTGAATGTGAACAAATTGATGATGGTTGGATGTTGGGTCGAAATCCCAAGACAGGTCAACAAGGTTTACTCCCATCAAACTATGTGGAAATTATTCAATGAGAATGAACAGATTTTTCTTTTCTTTTTTGTTTTCATTTATATTTGGGAATTTGATTTCTTTCTCATAGAGATTAATTACCTGTAAATAATATCATTTTTTTCCTATTCTTTTCATTCCACTACCAATCACGTACAAATCCTTTTATCTTAATTTCGCGTTCATTCTCTCTTCTGCTTTCTATTTTGCCATGTGTATGCGTTGTTACAGTTTCCAAAGAACTCTTCAAGACAAACATTTTTTCAAATAAACTTTCGAATCATAATAGGATGTTTTTCGCATTGAAATTGAAAATCAAAGGCAAAAGCCAAGTATTCATTTGTTTTAACCGAGATGAGAACTGAATTTCTTCGTTATTCTACATCAGTCAAATATATACATAAATTTTAAAAGCTACGTTTCTTGGATAGAGCATTTCGTAAAAACCTACTCGAAGAATTTATCTTTCAAAATTAACAATTCGAACGATCAGATTGTCGAGAACGACACAACACAACGTTTGCTTCATAAAAAATGACTTGAATATCAATTAAAATGCTTTTCTCAAATGAGATAAGACAAATGTCAAGAACTCCTCAAATCTCCCTCTATTTGCAGTTCTTTTTTTACGAAGATTTATTTATTTACTGTTAAACAATTAAATCTTCGAAACTAAACGAATAAAAAGTCAACAAATTCATCGGTTTCTGTTGATGAGCCTGACAGTTGGTTCTAGATTGCTTAATTTCACTCGCCACATACAGTAGGACACAACTACAAATGTTGCACCCAATAGAAGTTCAACAATCTACAATAAATATAAGTATATATTTACAAATATCCAGATAAGAAAATATGCAACGTACACCGAGAACAAACAAAGATGAAATATTGAACAAATCTACGAAAATCAAATTCGTTGTTTCCATACCAGTTGCGAAACGTACTTTTTATTCTTTAACCAAGAATGACTTCATATTCCTAACGGATCTATCCTGAGTGCGAAGTAATAAGCACGTCCGCGTTCCAATCCAAACCATGTAAATAACAAATGTTGTACAACAACAAATAACTTTTATTTTACGTATCCGAACAGATATTTATTTTCCCATTTATTAAAAGATCTCTGATAATTGCAAAAACCATCGTAATCTGTAAAAGCAAGAAAAAAAAACGAATTATTATTTTAAACATGCGATCATATCGTCACCAATTCAATCAACTTGATCAATGCTTCTGTACGAAAGGCGTTCCGTAGATTTTTGATAACGAAATTTCTCAAGCCTTTCTTCACACGTGGTCCTCTTAATACGCCGAACTCAGGAACGATGACCCAAATGTCAGATAAACTTTCCTCTAATGTTGCTGGACGATCTTCACACCTTCGTTCCGATGGAGTTTCTAAACCAACGCACAAAAATAAGATATTCGACGATACTAATTTGTACGATTAATGATTTCGTTTCAAATTCAATATCTAAGGGACATTGTTCACCATCATCTGATGGACGATCAGGACCAACTAATCTTTCAACAGTTGATGGTTCAATCGATGTTGCACTAAAACCTAAATCAACGGCAAACATCGTTATCAACAAAAATCTCGATGATTTGAGATTGGAATCAACCCAGGTCAAACAATCCGACACGGAAATGGTCGGTTCCGGAGATTTCATGGAAGCAGTATTCCAGATGAACGGATCCGGCGGTCGGATTTATCTGGTTTGGGCCTGAACCGACAGGGACATGTCAAAACCGGTAATCGGAAACGGTTACCGCATTTCTCCATCGGATTCCTGGCATTTTCCGCTCAGAAATGGCGTTTCCTCAGGGATTTTGTCGGAAATTCATGGAATCCTGCTTCAGGAACCATCGTCTTGGGAAGACCTTGACGTGCGGACATTTCGATAAGTAAGACAAATTGAAAGTGAAAATAAATAAATCAATCAAAGAAGATCCACTCGTATGTACAGTTGGTAATCATAGGACAGTGTTTCGTTCATTCTGTATTCCACAAAAAATAGAAGCAGATGACGTTCGAATCGATATTCGTGTGTGTATGATATACACGATTCGATTTGTTATTTGGTTAGTAAGATACTTATTGGCATTTTCAAGGGACAAAAGGCGGAAGGTCAAAAATAAAGTATTTTAAATAATACTTGACGTCAACAAAGTCTCTCTCTCCTGTTGAGTATTTTCAACATGTGTGATATTTCACAGCAATTAAAATCAATCCTTAATAAGTTGATATACTATGGGCGTCGGACTGTACAGCTGAGTGACAGTGGAATTTTTACAATAGAGGAATGTGAATCGTCATATGTTCAAATGTTTGAATCACGAAGAAAAGGTTTTTTCTTTCCGAGAACTTCTAATGAAGCAACTGATTTTTATTAACACTTAATTGACTTAATAAAATACACATGTATAACGGATGCTGAAATAGTTGAATCATTTGCATTTCATCACTTATCATAGTTCTTGCATCTCGTGTTTCTCCAACATATTGAAACTTGCATTCCGGTATTAAATCACGAGTCGAATAAAACTATTTCAATAATATTAGAATTTGTTCAAACCATCAGCTAGATGGTTAACTTTAGTTAAAATTAAAATATTTGAAATTCATAACGAAGATCTTTTACTGATGTTAGAATGATATGTTCCGTATGTGAACTTGGAGAATTGCAGATAGCTAGACTTAAAGATGAAAGAAAAATGAATGCGGAGACTTTCACAGGGAAGATTCTTGTCTTTTGATCTAAATAAAACAAATCAACAGAAAGTTTTCTGGATGAAACATATACATTGTCTTTTTTATTAGAATTTTTTTTTCTTTTTCGTTCAGATTATTTGCTGTTTCTCTTGTTGCTACATCCTGTTCAAACTATCTAGTCTCACGTTTGTAACTTGAAAATAACTGTCGTTCTGATTGCACTCTCATTTTAATTGTGATAATATTACTGTAACGGTCAGTATATATCTATAGTTCACCTATGCGACCTGTTCATAGATATTGACCTTACCCTCTCGTTGTTATCTTATGCGCGATGTTTCCTATATACGTTGTGTTCAATAAAGAAACGATACGATTATGAGTGTGTGAATGACACAACACACCATCATATCGAAGGACATAGGCAATCACTCTCATAATTCGTCACAATTACCCAGGTCAACAAATCCGATCAGATTCCTGGAAACGGAATTGCATTGGAATCCGGCTAGAAAAATCCCGTCGGTTGTTGCAAATTTTATGAGCGATCTTTTTAGCTATGTTCTATGATGACCCTTAGAAAATTCAGGAAATCCATGTTTCGGATCCGAAACCGTCGGAATCCAATGCGATTTCGTCACCAGGATTTCATCGGATCCGTCGAATTCCTGTAGGATTTGATAAAATCCTATATTGGATCCGATGGGATCCGAGTATGGGATTGTTCGACCTGGGATGACAAGGTAAAGCATTGTCTATCACGCCTTAGATTTTTTTTCTTTCGGTTTGCAAAAAGATATAGCTGATGTTTGATTAAGTTCAGCTCAAAAGTAAAATAACATTTAATTAGATAAGCTGCTATCAGACAGAAAGTCGTCAATTTTAAAATCTTTTTAGAACAACAACTATTCACACTACATACTAACCGAGTATGTCAAAATTTCTGCCACTGTGCCGTTCGATCCCGTACTGCCAAAGTTTTGAGATGCTCTCTAAATCATTAATCAAAAGGAAATAAATGACTCTTCTACCATATACATGAAATAAAAGGGTGATCGTTAAACTGTAGTTGTTTCGATATCGACAAGAATATTTGAAATAAATAGAAGCATTTCATTTCGAATTTTCTTTTTCAGATATCTTAGTTGCCTATTCTTATTAGATAATGATTTTTCAAAGCAAATATGATACAACTGTAAGTGTATTGAAAATTCTACTCTATGTATATATAGTTTGATTATCTTATGACAATCTTTGTAGAATTAAAATTCGACATAGTAAAGCGTTTCATAATGTTGTTGCTTAATGAGAGAGTTTTGTTAGGCAAGTTGCTATATGTGTCGTTAAATAATGTTCATAATGAAAGAAGTGCATATGATTGTCATATTCATATAGATGAAGATATTTGAGTTTTCTTGGTATAAAATAGAATTCAATGTTAGAACATTGTGGAGGTAAATTTCAATTCTCTTGGAATATCTGTTGTGATGATGGTATTTGAAAAAGAATATAGCTCATTTATGTTTATTATTTTGTACGTTAATGTGATAATCTTTCATGAAAGAAATTGTTGTGCTGATAACATTACACCTTATCGTGTTTCCTTTAAGTACGAATAGCATTCTTTGTACAAAACATGCAATTATTATGATCATAGATATTGTTACAGTTAGAATTCCTTCAAAAAATATTTTCGTAAACGAACATTTTACTGTCTGATGTATTGACTTTCTCATCTCTTTTGTGACACAACTATCATCACAACGTAAATTTTGAATGAATAGATCTAGATTACATCACTGGAGTAACTCTGTTTGTAACTGTACTATCAATTGTGATTCTTTTTTTTTGTTTAAAGGAAAAAGCAAGCATCTATGATGAATATCGATACATAAAACAACGTAAATATATGGATATACTAACACTCATTGGAATTCTTATCAGTTTCGTTGCGTTATCCTTTTTCGGTTTAAAAAAAAGCATTGATGTAGCGGTATGTATGAATGATTTCTATGTTAACAAAGAGATATTTCTTTATGAGTCTTTTTTTATTTACTGATTAAAACTACATTTAAATATGAATATGTTCGAGAAAGAACAAGTCAACATTTAATGAAGTTGTATCTTTCGTATATTGCCCACAAAACACTCAAATTTGTAAGTTACCGAACGTTTTCGTAATAAAAACAATTGTCACAAGAAGTGTACTCTCAGATGTTTAAAAAAGTTTTTCGGCTCAGAATTTATTTATCGAAAAAGTATGAAAGAAATGTAAAGAAAATCTATCCGAAAATGATGTTAACAATGACTGATTTCTTTTCATACATTCTTTTATATAGAAATGTTTCCTCACAAATGAAGACGACCGTTGCGATGTTACATTGGGTATTAGTATGAGTTGTATCGGCATTATTGCATTAATACTATTGTTGGTAATATTGGTCAAGCTCTATTCTGGTACACTCCAAGAAAGTGTTGACAGATTGATCTTTGACAACAAGATAAAAGTATTTTCTTTTCTTATTTCTTTTGTTTTTACTTATTCATTTCGCTCATATATTCGTAGTATGCATTTTTTGTTCATTGTAAATGCATACAAAGCACCGCATCCCCGTTACGATTTAATACTGAATGAAAGATTCTCTTATAATTCAGTTTAAATTCTTTTTTAGAGTGTATTAAAATCTTTAATAACAAACGGATTTATGATGAAACGAAAGAGTTCGCATTGCAGATTTCTCTTGCTAAAACTATTGGAATGATGGAAGAGATCACTTATTAAACAAATTTTATCCGCCTGAATAAATTGTGATCATTTCAGAATAAGTCCGAAATGGATGATCTTCATCAGTTTTTCTTGGAATCCAGAAATAATTCTGAACTTTTTAAAAGAATTGCAATTATCTTTGTGCTACTACTTCATAGAGCCAATTTTTATGCTGAAAAGCTCTATGAAATCTAATAGAACGAAGTTAAGAAAGTGTTGTTAGTAGGCAAACTCAACACTACGAAGAACGAAACGATAAGACAAAGTCTAAAACTCGTCAAATTCTCTTCATTAATGTTATAAAGAACTTTTCATAGGTAATCTATTAAGCATTAAGAATATTGTTCTGAGACGCAAGTTCTTCGATCAAAGTATCCATGGAGATCATTCTATCCTGTATGTACACGAAAAGAATGGAGGATGAATGACATTTTTTAAACTCTTTCAAGTCAAGAATTGTTCATTGAAGTTTTCTTTTAGGATTATGTTGCATCATTATCATGTGATTGTGAATCATTGTCCAATCAATATCTGAAATTAATTCATATATACAATCGTATGGTGTCGTTTTTTCGTCGCCACGATCAAAGAAACAAAGCAGTTTTGGATAAAACTAAAGACAAATCCAGTTTGAAAATTTGTAGATGTTGTATTATATGAAAGTCAATTACTCATGATTAATGTCAATCTTGTTGTATATCGATAAAAATAAAGTCATTGTGTCAAATATTATCAATCAGAATGTATTGGAATTTTTGTTGTTTTTCCAAATAAAATAAATGATAGTCGATTAAGAAGAATTCGATAGAAATCCGTTTTTTCTTTCTGACCAAATGTTTAGCAGTTAACATATATTGATCGACATTTTCTGTATTGTATCGGTTATCATACTGGAAGAAAAAGGGAAAAATTTTGCACAAAAATAACTTGAGAAAATGGAAAGCAATTCATATGGAATGACATATTTTGATTCACGTAGTTTTATCCGCCAACAAAAACATCTGTAAGGGGACAATGTCCCCCCCCCTTCTCCTTGTAGTTTTGTTCTGCCTACATCATTGTAACAGTTCAACATTTTGACAGCAATCCTTCAAAGAGAATGAAAATGAACAACTCTTCTTCGTCGAGAATTTCTATTCGACAATGATAAAACCGATAAATTTTGTGTTCATTGATTGGAAGTTATTTTCGTTTGTTAAAATGACATATTATTATTTTGAAAACGACCCATTACCTGAAAAATTTCATCTTTTTTTCATTTCTGTCAACACCCTCAAGTGAATTGACTTCCATCCATTTAAAATTGTATAATACTATACTCTTCATTTTAATTTGCTTGTCAAAACATAGCAAGTAACTGACACAAGAATTTTTTTATTTACCTTCGATTTTTTTTTGAAGAACCAAGAAAAAAAATACGTTGACATATTTAAAAATTAATCAACGCGTGCCGTTTTTTCATGAATACTTAACGAGTTTTAACAAACACCGATGCAAACGAGGACAAACAGAAGGAAATAGGAAGTTTATATACTTTTGTCTTTTTCTTGTAATAGATCGCAATGAATATCGATAGTGTTCAGATAAACTAACAATTGAACTTCATTTTAACAAATTAGATCATAAATCACCAATAATGAATCCATTGTATACGGACGTCAAGCATTTTCCGATACCAATTCAATTATGTTTTCATCCAAATGAAAAAACTGCGTATCAATCAATGAAAATCTCGGCTACTTCTCGCTGTAAATCTGCGTTTAATCGAAGCGATGAGTTTGGTTGTAATGTTCTCATGTATTCACTTCGATGTCAACGTTACAAACTATTTGATTTGTTATTAAATGATATTTCAATGGATATCGATCTTCGGGCAAAAGATCGACATGGAAATACAATTGTTCATTATGTCATTGTATACAGCGAAAGAGAAAATACAGAATTAATGGAGAAATTAATCGAAAAAATGAATCAATTTCGAATTGATATCGATCAAAGAAATACTTTTGGATTTACACCATTACTGTTAGGTAAGATATTCATTTCAAATCAATGTGTTGATTATTATGTTGTATTTAGCGATATATTCTGGTCGATACGATCTTGGTTTAATTCTTTTAACTAAAGCTAATGCTTCGCCATTCGTTCGAGATTATATTCAATTGAGAAGTATCGGTGATTATATTGAAAACGATGTAAAACAAAGTAAATGTAGTTCGAAGCTTGACAAAATGTATGTGAACTAGTTTTGATCTAAAAAATGCAATCTATTTCGATTTTCTAGTCGACCGTATTCCAGTCCAATAACTCGTGAATCAATTCGTTTTCGTCTTCGACTTTACCAAACATTCCCATCGCGTCCGGAAACTTCACGTTCGAATTTAAACGAAAACTTCTTCGAAAACATTTTCCCACAAGCTGTGCATGATCATTCAGGATCAATGCGTTCCTCGATTTTATTCGTGTTTCATACAAACAATTCAATGTCGAATCTATCACATCTCGTTCATCATTTAAATCAACGTTTTCCAGTATTAAACATCGCACGAAGACAAATCAAAGTTAAAATTGAACAGTCTGGTGATCAATTTGAAAATTCCAAAACCAATATTCATTTGATTCTGAACTTTTTTGATCCAGATCCCCGACCAAAAGCAATTCCACCAAAACCGATAACTGCACATGAAAAAGGATTAGGTCCATTCAAACGTGTAGGAACAAAGTTGAAAATATGTCATTCTCTATCTCGATCTCATGAAAATTCAAAAATTCATTATCTCACTGTTCCGACAAAAATAAAATAATCTTCAAAAAATCGTTCGACTAATAATCGAAGATATTTTATGATTATTTTTGAATAAAACGAGTCATACTGTTTTATCTATATGTTCAGTGAATTCGATAAGAATCTTGCAAAGAAAACAACGTGGACGTGGCGCGTGACTTTCGAAAACGTCGAATGATCACAAAATAATATCTATCCATCGGCTCACATCCTGAAAAATCTTCGATAAAAATTTGACGAGATTGATTTTTATTTTGTTGATTTTGAATTGAAATGACTTTGTCTTGTAGAATCGTTTTTTTTTTCAAATTTGTGCCTAATCGTCCTGTCGACCCATTCTGTTTCTTTCTGATCAAAATGTCTTTTTACTGCATGTATCTATGTATAATCACATCGTTAAATTCAAATGATTTTACCCTGGATATATGTCCAGTGGATGATTGCACTCGTGTTGTCATATTCTCGATCGTATTCAAATAGCCGAGTGCAAACAGAAAAGGAATCAGTTAGATAATATATATGCCCAGAAAATCGTAACCGTTCTGTCCATGATGATTCATATATTCTGTTAGTGGACGGTCGTTTTATTTCTCTCTTTTCTTTTTGTTTTGCGGTTTTTTTTTTATCATTTTTTTACTTTTAACTCGCCGCTCGATCACTTCCAGTGACAGTGACAAGTTGTCTATGATTATTGAAACTAGAATCTACTCTTGTTTATCTTCGATTTTGAAGAGAAATCACCCGAACAACATTTGTTTACATCTTCACCTTTTACTTAACACCAGTCCAGTCTCGATCAGAGTAAATATTTTCTTCGGTTTAGAAGTCCACATCAAGGTTTCTTTTTTCTTTAGAATTTTTAGTCATGCATTCCATAAACTCCTCACATCGTGCATCCGGAGATATTCCGTCGTCGATGTCATTGAGAGAAACTCATATTGTAACTTTTCCCATAGGTTTTTCCCTGAATATCACTTTCGTTTTTCTTTTCAGTATGATATCAACAGTCTGTCGGACAAGGACAAGTTCAAATTACTGTCAGCCAAGGCTCTTGATTACGTTTGTATTATCGATTAAATGATTTCAAAACTGAAAGTTTGTTTATTTGTTTTTAGATTGATCAGCATTGTGCCGTATCGATTCGTCTTGATGGAATTTATATTCCAGCTGAATTAAGGCAATTGCTTGACCATAAAAGACCGCTTCATTTAAATGTAACAACTCAAGATGCATTTTCATTTGAGAGTAAAATTTTGAAGAAAAAACAAGAGCCTTTTTATTTGTGATATTTTGTTTTCAAAGCATTTAAACGATGTGTAACAACATTTTTATCAAGAGAACGTGAATGTGATGAAAATAATCTTGGACAAGGAAATTGGAGTATTGTCGAGCAAGGAGTAAGATGTCAAGTATCATCAATCATTTTTATGTGAAAATTTTGATTTTAGTACCAAACAACAGTTATTACGGGATATGTTTTCGATGGAATTAAAGGATACAATGTACCAAATTATGTCTTTGAGAATTTGGTAAGAAGAATATTTGGAAAGTTAAATCAATTTCTGTTGATGAATTTTAGGCTTATTTTATTCGATGTCTTCGTCATCAATATCGATGTATGGTCACACTTTCATGCGAATCACCGGTGGTGAAATTATCGTCGAAATTAACCGTTTCCATAACGTAAGATTTTTAGAGTTTCAAAATCTTCTATTTTTGTTCGAAATTTAGACATGAATCACCAATAATCCGTCATCTCGCTGCAACTTACATGCAAAAATCGATGATGTCGGCTGTGACTCAATGCGAAATGTATCATGTAAACCTTATTTTACATCAAAGTAGATTTCAACAGTATTGATTTGTTTTCAAACAAATCTTCTAGATTTAGATATGTCACCAACCATTGGAACACCACCTCGACTAGTTCAACCACCTGCATTGAATGATGCACGTCTTCTTTTACCAACACTAACACAAAATATCAATAATAAATGGGACACAATGTCCTTGTCTGATGGTGAGAATGTTTATTTCTGTATCTCTTTCAGTATTCTCTTTTTTTTTTAAATATCTAGCTGCACCGATCTGTGATGATCCATTAAATCTCAACGATATCCTTCAATCAGTTGCACCAGCATCATTTGGACAAAGTTCAATACGTAAATCAACTGCTGATCTGTTTTCATTTTCATTTTTTTTCCATTTTAGAATCAACACCATCAGTGAGTCATGCAGCCATGACTCGTCAATATCCTTCAACATCTATTACACACAACCTTACAGTAAATTCAATGAAACTTCTTTATTCTATTGTTGAAATTCTCTTCTAGAATACATTTGATCAAATGAGACTTGATGAATGTCGATTAAATCAACGCTATTTATCCAGCAGTACTGAAGCCGTCAGTCCGACAGGGACAACTACGGGTATCGATGATTATCCACACGAAGCTCGTCAACGTCGTGCACCCGTTGACCATGCATCACAATTAGGAGCGATATCCGATGTTACAGACGAAGAAGAAAGGTAAAAGTGCAGAATTTCGAAAAACAAACAAGCTTTTTTGCTTCTAATTCTCATTTAGCGCGGCTTGGCGTGTCGATCAACGTCCATTTCATACGCAAATTCGTACACTTCAACATCGTTTTTATTCGTATGGCATCCGTGTCGGTGAAGAATATTCTCGAATAACCTCGATTTTAAATATTCCTCCCTTAATTTCCATAACGGAAACAGCTCGAGAACGGAAAATTGGAACGAAAAAACAATGGTACTTCTCACTTTTACTCGATGGCCATTTAATGTTAGCCTACGTTTGGGATTCCAAGAAAAACGATGCCAAACGACGTGCTTACGACACTATGGTACATCTTCTCAATACTACACATGAATTTGCGATCAAACCAGTGAAAAATAACAAATGGAAAGTTGTTAAAGCAACTCGACAACGTTGAAAACTTTCTTTTTTTATATTCGCGCTTCTTTTATTTATTGACTTCAAAAAAAAACTCCCATCTCGCATTGAAAAGCAATCTGAAATTTGTTCTCTTGTGTTCTGTTAACTATCAGTTACACCTTGCAAATCATATCACTAGTTGGTACGTTTAATTACAAGGTGAAAAGTTTGATTAGAAGGAAATTTCATCAACCTGTGGGTGGAAAATCTCGCGTGTTTTGAAGAGAGGGAAAAGCAGAGGTATTTCTATGATTGAAAACTGTTCGTGTTGAATAATCTCTAATGTTTCCTCACAGATCTATTTATATTCGTGTCTAAAGACATTTTTCCGACGTAGAAATCTTGTCAAGATTGATTGTTTTTCAAGAACATCGAAAACAAGATACTCAATTGAATTAAAATAATGTTTATCATTGATGCATGTCAATCTCATCATTGATATTCATAAGAAAGAGAAAAAACCTAAACTAATTTGTCCTTAAAGCATGTCAATATTCATCTTGGACGAAAGTACGTGTGAGGAACTTGTTGGATTGACGAATAATGTTGATGACAATGTTTCTTTCGGGTATGAAAGATTAGATGAAATCTTGAAGAAGAACATAAGAAAATCTTTGCTTTGTGTTTCAAATAGAATTAATCATGAAGGAGATATCTTTTTTCTTTTTCTCTTTAAGAGTATCAGATGAAATCGAACATCTGCTTCCAACTCCCATAATGTACGTATCTAACCATGAGATTGAATTTTTTTTTCATTTGTTGAATTAGGTTCGTTGTTAACGGTTCGACTTGTCGAGCCTTTTTTCATTGAGTGGAATAAAAATGAACAAGAAGTTTGTCTTTTAGGATTAAAGCAATGAATTGAAAAGTGAATTGACTGATTTTTAGGATATTATTCGTTCGTATTCACCAATAACAAATCTCCTCGCTCAGATAATCTTGATTTTTCTTCTTCTCCTCAGTGTTTATTTCAGTATCTTCTTGGGTTGCATTGACTACATGTCTATCCGTCTGTAAGTGCATGTTTCTTCCTCGCTTTTTTTCCTCTTCCTCTTCGTCTTCGTCTATTAGTTTTTATTCACTATTGATGCCAATGATATTCTCTTTGGCATCATCATCATCATCTCTCTTATCTTCGAGCGCGTTGCCTGTTCGACGATAGTAGTCGGAGGGAACGCCGTGTGTCGACGAGCAGTAGCAGGCTAATCACATTAATGAAGAAGAAATTCTATCATCGTACTAGTGCTACCCGCCCATCCGTTCGTCCGCTTTCATTGCTTGCTGACAAGAAAAAACGCGAAGAAAGGAAAAAATGCAGATAGACGGTATCAAAGCGGTGTCTGCGGGAGAAAGAGAAGAAGCGAGGATAGCTCGTCGGCAGCTGTTACTCGACCGACGACCAATGTGAACTACTATCTACTCTATTACACATCCAACGAAGAAAAAAAAAGAAGAATAGGAAAAAAATTGCCACAAGCAAACGGGCGAACACGAACAGTTCATAGAAAAAGCATTGCTTATTGGTGGAGTCCAAAGAAAGAAAGAATTTTCCGCAAAAAAAAACGCTTCACCAGTACTAAAGAAGGCTATTCTTTCCCCTCTCTCTCTTTCTCTATCTATCTATCGTTGTAGAATGCATAGAATAGGAGTAGGCGACGACGCACAACACAATAACAACAACAATATTAGTTCTTCTATGACTGCTAACAAAAAAGGGGCAAGAGTAATTCCCTTTTCTCTCTCTCTCTTTTCTCTCTTCGTCTCTTTTTCCATTCTTTGATTAAAAAGCATCAACAATATATTTAGTTCATTATCAGAAAATTGAGATTTTACGTTGGATTTTTTCAGAGAAGAATTTTATTGAAGATAAACCCAACAAATCATGTTTTCCTCATGTGAAAACTGTCGGTAAGAGCAAACTCGTTAATTCTTCGTTTTTGTTTCTATTTATTTGTTCTATTATATGTCTAGTATTCAATAGCAATTAATCTAGTCTAATTTTATCGTCAAGCAATCATCTATATTTCTTTAATTCAATCATTTCTTAATCCAGGTAATTCATTTCTTTCTGATGAAAATCATCAAATGAACTCGTATCCCTTCACGTTACTCAGTAAAAATCGATCAATTATTCAGCAAATAATGGTTCTTTTGAGTTCATTTTTTCTTTTGTTTCCAGTAAATCATTTCCCCATATATCTCACTGATCAGACTCAGCGAAATTAATTAGTATTAAATGATGTTTTTTTTTTATGTTTGGAGTTTCCATAGTAGATCTAGTCTTGTTTTTTCTTCATGGAACAATGATAGCTGCAGAAGAGAAGAAAACGCTGAGTGCGGAATTTGTCCGACAGTAAATAATAAAAAAGAACAGAAAAAACGGCAAGAACTCGAGCAGGCGAAATGACGAGAAGAAGAAGAAGAAGAAGAGAAAAAACTGAATGCGCGCTTGTTTGAAGGGTAAAAAACGGGAATGTTCCATCGGGTTAACACATAACGGAAGCATTTCAAGAAAATGAGTTAACTATACGAGAACGCTTTTACACCGTGTACGAGTTTTTTTCTCTGTTCGTATTCAAAATTATCCTATCAACAGAACAACTGAATATGGTGAGTAAAGAAAACAGAAGAACAGATAAAGAAAATGTTTCTGTTCTTGCTCAACATATCTGTCAAATAATATATATATATATACAATGTATGCATACGCTTCTCTGATTCTTTTTTCTATTAAAAATAGTTCATATCATGAGAAATATTTTATTTCGAAGAGATAGAGAAAAGAAAAAGTTCTGCTCAGATGTTATTATTTATTTTCTGGTTGAAGTCATGATTTCAATGTGGATATAAGAGATCGATGTGTGACATATCTACTAGAGAGAAAAGAAAAAAGCTTTTTTTTTCGATTTGTTCCCTTTAGACTCTGATCTAATATTTCTTTAGCCGAAAATTTTTCTCCGGAAACGTAGCTTGTTCGAGTTCCGAGGCCGTTAATTGCTATCCGGATCCGTTTTTCTTTCTAATTCTCTTTACTAAGACGTGCTGCTACGTACAGAATACAATAAAATCATCTGTCAAGATAGAATATTTGTTCCTATCCCATTTGATTCGCGTGAAAAAGAACTTCAAATTTCTACTTGACGTTTTGTTTCAGTTGCGTAAAAAATTACTTCCATCAAAAATGGGCCTTTGTGCGTCCGGCATGAGCTCGGAAGAGCGGGAAGCCATGGAACGAAGTAAAGCCTTAGATAAACAATTAAAAGAAGATGCGGAACGAGCGGCCAAAGATGTTAAATTACTACTGCTCGGTAAGAACGATGAATTTTTCTGTTATTTCTCGAATTCGATGAATTTTGTTCAGGTGCTGGTGAATCTGGTAAATCAACAATCTTAAAACAAATGAAAATTATTCATATGGATGGATATTCCAAAGAAGATTTCGAACAATACCGTGAAGTTGTTTATTCAAACACGATTCAATCTTTAGCGACAATTATTCGTGCCATGGAAACATTAAATATTCAATTTGGTTCGACTGATCGGGAACGAGACGCCGCCATGGGTAAATATTGAACATTTGTTGTTGTTGTTGTTTTTCTGAACATTGCTTTTTTAGTTTTGGATAAAATATCTCGTATGGCCGATACGGAACCGTTTGAAAGTGAATTACTTGATGCAATGAAGAAATTATGGAATGACAATGGTGTTCAAACGTGTTTTAATCGTTCAAATGAATATCAATTGAATGATTCAGCGAAATATTTCTTGGATAAACTAGATGAAATCGGTTCACCGAATTATTTACCAAGTACACAAGATATTCTTCGTACTCGAGTTAAAACAACTGGTATTGTTGAAATTAATTTCACTTTCAAAGGTACAAAAAAAGGATTTTCTTAGAAGAAAAACTAAAATTTCTTGTTTAGATTTGAACTTTCGAGTATTTGATGTCGGTGGTCAACGATCTGAACGAAAGAAATGGATTCATTGTTTCGAAGATGTCACAGCAATTATCTTTATTGTGGCTCTGAGTGAATATGATCAAGTAAGTTGCGAGATGAACTGAATTCCTCAGGTAATTCTCTTCGATTTGACCAGGTTCTTGTCGAAGATGAAACAACTAATCGTATGCACGAATCTCTTCGTCTATTCGATTCAATTTGTAATAACAAATGGTTTGTTAACACCTCAATCATTCTCTTTTTGAATAAAAAAGATTTATTTGCTGAAAAAATCCCTCGATCAAGTCTGGTGTAAGTAAAGAAACGATTTTTCTTTGATAAAAAAAGAAGCACAATTTTTCACTTTTCTTTTAGAAAATGTTTCCCTGAATATCAAGGCAAAGATGAATATACTGAAGCGAGCGAATATATTCAAGCTCAATTTGTTGCACAAAACAAGAGCGAACAAAAAGTTTGTCTTTTCAAAAAAAAAAACCAATCCTTCATCGATTCAAACATTCTTTGTTATTTAGGAGATTTATTGTCATTTAACCTGTGCCACAGATACTCAGAACGTGCAATTTGTCTTGTAAGGAGAAGATTTCGAGTAGAAAACTATTATTATTGTTGATTTTTTTTAGTGATGCTGTTACTGATGTTATCATAACGAATAATCTTCGTGCCAGTGGACTTTATTAAAACGATGAAATGACGAAATCTTTGTTTCTTTTTTAAAAAAGAGAAAAAAACGTTTTTATTGCGTACATCCAGATACAAAGTATCGCCCGCCGCTCAGCTTCTTGTCTCTTTCTATTTTTTAACCTTTATTTGTCAAGTTCGACAAGCGCCGGTCGATATCTTCT